TCCCTGTCGCAGCCCAACATGCGTTCCAAACGCCTGTGATTGTTCGCCCTGTATTTCGACTTTGCAAACCACATTACGCATTGTAGCCTTAACCAATCTTATCAGTTTATCGGGGATGTGGAATTCATTCATTGCTTCATACAATTTATTTCTTAGGACACTATCATAGGCAGATTTGAAGTCTACAAAAAGATGGTATGTATCGATATTGAATTCATTGGTTTTTTCCAGTATTTGCCTTAGCACAAAGATCTGATCTGTTGTTGATCGACCAGGCCTAAAGCCACTTTGATATTCCCCGAGAAGTTCCTCTGAATATGTACTTAGGCGACCATATATGATCCTCGAAAATATTTTGTATGCTGTATTAAGGAGGGTTATTCCCCTATAGTTTCTACATTCCAATTGGTCACCCTTTTTGTGTAGCGGGCAAACGATTCCAATACACCACTCTTCCGGGATTTGTTCCTCATTCCAGGCTCTCAGTATTATTTTATATATTTGATTAGTCACAGAAGCACCTCCACATTTGATAAGTTCCGCGGGTATACCATCACTTCCTGGAGATTTATTGTTTCTTAGGTGTTTTATTGCATCTCGTACTTCTTGAATTGACGGAGGTTCTAATGGTGAATTGTTGCTTGCTCCTCCGGGTGGTTGATTTGGATCTGGATCTTCTACTTCTATAGTAAGTAGTTCTTTAAAGTGTTCCACCCACCTTTTCAGTACTTCTTCTTTTGTATTTAGTATATGCCCCTCCTTATCCTTACATAGTCTGCAAAGAATTCGACAACTTCAAGGATTTTGGTTCTATCCAACCAATACACCACCCCTAATATGTCTATCGAGTAGTTTTTCTATTCTTTAGTACAAATGATATCGGACTTATTGACCTTAGGGACTTTTTCCTGTTTAATTTTGCTAACTTTGGGTATAAAAGCCGCCTTTATTAACCTTTATTCTTTTAGTGTGTAACCTAGTCCTAGGCTAGCCTAACAGTATCATACATAATTTTTTGTGCAGAACGCCATTACCCTTCTGTAAAAGTAGGATAAATCCCGTCAGGACCAGGTGACTTACACGGCTCACATAAGTTTATTGCCTATTATCCTGGTTCACCACTTTTTTTACCATACGCTAGTTTTACCTAGAACCATAAGTTATGGTATCCAGGCCAGTCTGCTGCCATGTGGCTAGTGGTATCAGTTTTGTTTGAGACTCAGGAAAGTGCACTCTGGAAAGTTCTTTCAGGGTCACTTCACCAATTTGAGTGAGTTGCTTTCTCCAATGTGTTCCAGTATATTGTGCATATTCGTTAATACTTATTGGTTTTATCCGCCTTCTTGAGTGTCTATTTTTTATCATAGGTGCCTTTTTGGTTAACCAATATTTTCAAATTACCTCTTACTAATCTGTGGTCACTATAACTGTGGTATTTTTGAATAATACATTTATAGCTTCAAATATCTTTTTTAATCGTGATGACAAAAAAAATGACTTCGTTTCGGGGTCTTTTGTCTAGGTTTTTCATACCAAACTTGTTTTTTCTGTTAAAAGGATCTATTCATTAGGTAGATATTATTTTTCAAAAGAAAACTTAAATAGCTGTTTATCTATATAGTTTTTCCTTCAACGTTTGCTATAATTGTTTCTAATTAGTGTTTCTGTAGTTCTATTTTGGCGTATAATATTTTGAATCTACATATATAAGAAGTGACCAAGATCTGCTGGTCGTTCTACTTCTTGTCTTTGTGCTGCATCGTTGGGTCGTCACACTGTACTAGCTGTTTAAAATTTAATGTTCTATTTACCTAGTCTAGTATGACTATTTCGTTGATTACCAGAAGGCGTTACTTTCTTTGGCAACCAGTTATCGTGTATTGAATGTGGTAATCTTGAGCTTGACCATTTTAGAAAAAAAAAGAATGCCTATATAGTATTTATTGCGAAAGCATAAGATAAAGTTTCTCGAGAGATTCTATGGGAGGCGTTTAATATGAAAGTGGTGGATATACGAAGATTGTGAGAGATATGTATGATACTTACTCGTATTAATTGAATCTTGGATCAGATAACAGCAAAATTACTGGTTAATTAGTACTTATTGTATGCTAATAATGTATTTTTAGTATTAAATACTGAAATATATTAAGAACAAAAAGTGGAACAGTGAGGACAAGCTCTTAAGGAAAAAATTTATTCTTTAATTGGACAAAAACATAATATTTAGAATCTTCATTTAAAGATGAAGCTACTTCCAAAAAATTATATCTTTGGATGGTGAGATGATTATAAATAATAGTTTTAAGTAACTAGGATCGGTATTACAGACTAATGGGGAAATATATGGAGATGCATATAGTAGAATTAGGGTGCGATTGATAAAGTAGAAGGAATCGAGTAGTATACCAGAAACATTTTTATAAAACTGAAGAAAAAGTAAATACAATTGTCATTAGACCAGCTATAGTATGCGGAACTGAATTTTGAAAAGCGTAAAAAAGAAGAACAACGAATGTATGTATTGAAAATGAAAATGCTTGAATGAATTCACTCATCCATACAAGGTTTGGGCATGTTCAACGTCGAGATGTTAATCACTTATAGTTTATTTTTATGAACGAGAGAGTAATTAGCATAATTTTAACTGGTACCTCCGACCACTCCATGGGCGTGCTCAAGATTAATTGAAAAATTACTTTGAATAATTGTAAAAAATAAATGAATTATTTCAGTGTTATAAAGTGTTATGTGTATGTAAACAAAAGTGACCTCTTTTATCACACACTATATTAGAACTGACTGGCCTACATTAAAAATGGTTTTAAAAAATTCACATTTTTTTTAATTTTTAAAAATTACAAAAGAGAAAAAGAGTTTTTAAAACCGTCTAAGGTATGTTAAATAGATGAATAAAAATATTAATATAAAACTTACAGCTACTTGTTACAAATCCAAATCAGATTCAGAAGATGAACTTTCAGAACCAAGATTTATAATAACTGGCTCGATCATTTTATCAGTAATATTGTCCAGCTTCCACATTTTTTCCTCTTCTTTAATAGTGTGATTTACTGCCTTTTCCCAGTTTTCAGGTTTTACATTATTTACGGCCTCCAAAAACAACTGTTTAACATCATGAATTTTAAAAGTGGTATTTTTTCTTGAAACTTCACTCTTTATCTGTGCCCATACCAGTTCAATCGGGTTTAATTCACAATGATATGGTGGGGATCTAAGTACTGTCATTCCACGATTTTTGGCAATTTCATCAATTTCGTATTTTTTAAATTTTTCTTTATGAAGGGCACACAACGAATAAAGTTCCTTTCTTATAGATCCGGGATGGTACGTAATATTTTTTGAACTCAGCCAATTCTGCAAGTCTTTTTTTAACCACTTGGTTGTGGGCAGTCCTTCTATAAGTCTGGAGTGATAACTTGCATTATCCATTACTATTACACAGTTCTTAGGAAGAAGATCTATCATTTGTTCGAACCATTCTTGAAAGACATCAGCGTTCATGTCTTCATGGTAGTCACCGGTACGAGTTGATTCAAAAGTTAATAAACCACCTTCAACAAAACCGTCTGAACTGCCAATGTGTACTATTATCAGCCTGCGTCCCTTTCCTGATGGTGGGTTTAAACCAGTAGATAAGTTATTTACAAAAGCGTGCCTTTGACTTGTAACAGTTTCATCCTGCCAAAATTTATTTGGTGTATGACCCTCGTTGATCCATGTTTCATCAAGATAAAATATTTTTCTTTTTTGGTTTCTCATTTCCTTTATGGTTCTTAGAAAATGTCTTCTCCATATGACAATATCGCTTCTTTCTAATAAAATAGACTTTCTGGGATTCTTTTTCCAGCGGAAGCCTATTTCTTTTAAAAGTTTCCATAACGTACTTCGACTCATTTCTGGGTAATCCTTATCATCTCGAACTGAGACAAGAACTTTATCCAATGTTGGAAATTCTTGTCTAAAGAAGAATTCATGCACTTTCCGTCTCTATTGGTTATATATAACCAATAAAATAAACATCTTACATTTCTTGCAAATTCATTAGTACCTGTTAACCTCCATCACTCCGACACTGGCAACCTTATTTAGGGATTAGTAACCCTCACAACTATTGTATTCTATTCAGCTCCAATCTTTATACCTGGTGGTCATACTCAATTTAAAATTGTTTTCCTATATACTTCTGTAAACTTGTTGACAAATATCTGTTTTTCATTGAGTCACCCGTATCAACAGTTTAGGGATTTGCATACATAATTTATTGTTTTATTACTCTCTCATACATAAAAATACAGTATAATACGAAGAATTAGGAGTAGAAGAGCAAAAAAGACCTGGGGAGACAAAGGGATTGATTTTGATATGACCCAAGAGAGAAACTGAAGAATACAGGAATATACTTAAGGAAGCCGAAATCGTATAGGGTGAAAGACAGAGAGAATTATGATGACGAAAACAACAGCCAACACCTGGACAAACAAAAAACCAAAATATTACATTGAAAAATTAGATTAAAATATTCATAAAAACATCTTTAAAGAAATATGGAAAATATGTTTTTCTGGCTAAACACATGCCGGCAGAAGTTTAATAAATTTTGTGAACAGGTGTGACTAACACCAGTCTGCCATTGATAGTAAAATGAATGCTTAAAACAACATTGTTTTAATACAAATTAAATAAAATTATACAAAGTTGCTATGACTAAATCAACATTTACTTCAATTTCACCAACTCGACAAATCTGATAAAAGGCTTAAGAAAATAAATATGTGGGAATTTCCTTCTAATCTTAAAATAGTGTTTTTATCTAAAACAAAAAGTACTAAGTCTACGAAATCACTTATAATTATCTGTTTTATTGACAGTATAATAGTTTAATATAAAAATATAGTCATGTAATAACATGGACCCATTTTAAACTTACAATTAACAGTTTACAGTTAACAATTTTAACAATTTTTGTTTTGTTTTAGAGCCAGCGTCATCAGCTTAAGGTAATTATTATAAAGGTTATATTCGGTTTGCGCAGATTATACACATGTAAAAGTATATACAGTTGAGTTCATGGTTCTTTACCCATAAGTCATCATTTAAAGCATCCGAAGTAAGTCGGAAACTTTTTACTTCACGTAACAGCAGTTGACAGAAAGTGGCTAGTGCCCCGATCACGGATTATATTGTAAAATTTTACGTTATTAAATAATAATAATAATAATAATATACGTTTATTCAAATCCATAAGTATTACATTAATTTACAATTTCAATTTCAGTTTACTTACAGTAACATAAACGTAAAAAAAGTCTTTAAAGCATTAACATGCTTGTTGACTTAAGCTGTCTAATATTAACAGGTTTAATGTTTTTTTTTACAAATTATTATTTCATTTTTACAGTTTCTAATCTAATCTAATTTGTTTCGTTTTTTTATCTAGTATAATTTAAATTTATTAAATTGTTACAAAACTCCCTTTTTTCCTTTACCCAAGCATTAACTAATTTTTTATATAAATAAAAATTTTTGATATTTTTAAAATTTATGGGCAATTGATTGTATATTCTTGGAGCAAAATATTTAATTGACCGTTGCGTGATTGTTTTTGAAGTATGAAGACATTCAACATTCAATTTTCTTCTTGTTTCATAATTTGACACTTTTACTTTAAGAGGTATTTTATCTTTATAAATATTTTTAAGTAGCTCTAAGCAGTACAATTGCCGAACATCAAGAACCTGAGTTTCATGAAAAAGTTGGTCTGAGGGATATGTTTTTCGTTTTCCATATATTAGTTTAAGAAACCATTTCTGAGTATTTTGAAGGGTCACCAGATGGCAATCAGCTACGCCACCCCATCCTAAAATCCCATATACAAGATGAGATTGTACTAAAGACAGGTAAAGCGTTTTAAGCTGTTCAACATCTAAAAACTCTTTTAAATAGCGGAATTTCGGTAACAGTCCTCTTATTTTTCTTATAATATTTTTTATTTGCAAGTCCCATTTAAGGTGCCTGTCAATTAAAACTTCTAAATATTTTATGTATTCTGCTTTAAATATTTGTTGTTTTTTATTTATTTTTAATGAGTTAAAAGTCGGCAGAGAATTTTTATATATTGCAAAAGGTATATATTTAGTTTTTTCGTAATTTATTGTGAGTTTATTTATTTGCAACCATGTTTTTATAACTTTGAAATCTTGTTCAACTATAGTCTTAAGATCTTCCCAATTTTCGGCCTTATAAAAAAGCAAATTAAGCATGTCATTAACATAGAGTGTAAAGAGTAGAGGGCCTAAAACGGTCCCTTGCGGTACGCCATAATTAATTACTTCAGGATCACTTTCGACACCATCAATTTCTACAAATTGTTTTCTGTCTGTTAAGTAACTTTTTATTAATGTCAAAACGCGTCCTCTCAGACCATACTTCTCAAGTTTCTCTAACAAGATCCCGTGAGATATCGTGTCAAACGCCTTAGAGAGATCGACAAATATGCATAAACTACGTTTATTAGACTCAAAAGCTTCTGATATTTGTGATGTTATTATACAAATAGCATCTTGTGTAGATTTTCTTTCTCTAAAACCGTATTGACAATCCGATATTATACTAAACCTATCCAAAAAACTCACTAATCTATTTTTTAAAATTTTTTCAAATATTTTGGAAAAAACAGACAACAAAGATACTGGTCTGTAATTAATCACGTCTTCTTTATTTCCTTTTTTAAACAGAGGTTTGATTTTGCCTATTTTTAGACATTCTGGAAAACAACCATCCTGAAAACATGCATTAATGAGAAAAGTTAAAGGAGTAATAATTTCTTCCTTAATTTGTTTGATGGTTTCTGTCTTAACCCCATCCCAGCCAGGAGATTTTTTGTGTTTTAAAGATTGTATTGCATTTACCACTTCTTTTTGGTCAACGAGATACAAGTACATGCTGCTTTCTATCCTATCTATGTCCTCAATCTGTTCATTACAAATGGGTATTTTTTGTACATACCTTTGTCCCAAAGTACTGTAATGTGTATTAAATTCATTTGCAATTTCTTTTGTGTCAATTATTTTTTCTCCTGTTTTGGTTTTAATCAATTCAATTTTTGTATTTCCTTTTATTTTTCCACACAATGAATTAATTACATTCCAAAGTGATGAAGAAGAGGTCTTATTTTTTTCAATTCGTTGTTTTGTATAATTTCTTTTTGCAGTTTTAACTAAGTGTCTTAATTTATTTTTATATTCTGTATATCGTTTTTTTAAGTTATCTGAGGGATCTTGGATTAGCTGATCATACAATCTGTGTTTTTCCTGTACAGACTTTAAAAGTCCCTCTGTCATCCAATCTTTTTTAAAAGTGGTTTTTAGATCATTTCCTTTTAAAATAATTGTATTTTTGTTTATTAAATTTAAAATTTTGTCACTGAAAAGTTTTACCGCTTCATTTTTATTTGTTTTATTGTAAATATCCAACCACTTTTCCTGCTTCAAATTGTTTTTTAGATTTTTGTAGTTGATGTACTTCTTTATTATAATTTTGTTTTCTTTGGTTTTGGTTAGATTAGGAATGGAAACTGCGATTGGATAATGATCTGAAGTAGTATTATTTTCAAATATAAATGAAGTTATGTTAGTGTAATCAGCAGGTCTTTTTATAAAGAAATGGTCTATACAAGTTTGACTTCTAGGTCTACTTGTTTTATTTATATAAGACAAAAAATTTTGTGAAGCTAGAATATTCTGGTATTCTTCAGTGTGATCTAGATCCTCAAACAAATTAATATTGATATCACCAACTAATATATAAAAACACATTCGTTTTTTACTTATGAGGTATTGATGCAAATCCTGATTAAAATTGTTTATGTTTACTATCGGTGATTTATAGATAGCGCTCAAACAGATTTTTGTTTTATTATAATTTAAAATGACTTCAAGTAACTTGATGTTCCCCAATGGTACAACTGAATATTCATATTTTATAGAAGATTTAATTTAAATAATAACTCCATCATTTTTGTTTAAATCGCCTTAATTGTATAATAAATCGTAATTTTTTAACAAAAATGGGGTTTTATCAATATCATCTTGAATGTGTGTCTCCGTGAGAACTAAAATATCAAAGTTGACATTTAGAGTTGATAAAAACAAACAAAAATTATCAAAATTCTTACCTATACTGCTAATATTACAATGAATTATTTTTAAGTCATTTTTTATTGTCACTAAGTAATCCTTATTAAAACTATCACTACTTACACATTTTGTGTCCACTTTTTCTTCTTCGTAGTCTCTAACATAGATATCCATTTTTTTTAACTAGCACACACAAATTTTTACCGCACGATTAACATTACACTTAATTAATGTTGTTCGTTTGACCTGGTTTTCCTTTTTTTCTTTTCTTCAGACGAAGGATTTGATGTAGTGGATGACTTTTGTGGCTTGGTTGATTTTCCAGTAACAGCAGACACAGATGGATGTTTTTTTGACGTTGGCTTCGTTTCGTTAGTCTTGGGTATTTTTCGGTTTATTTTATCCTCTTCTTCCGAAAAAGTTGGGTTTTCTTCAAGTTCTTTGGGCGTATAACTTTGATGGTCTATAAACAGTTTGTTGCCCCGTATATAGCTGTTTTTTTTCTGGTTGTTCTTCTCTTACAATTTTTAAGTGTTTTTTTAAGATCTTAAGATCTTCCTGCTGACTTTTTGTTAAATCAGGTGATATAAATATACCTGTGCCCTTTAAATTTTTTCCATTTTTCAGAATTTCAGTTTTTTTTTTAAAATGTCGAGTTAATTCAATTTTAATTGGGTATTTATCCGTACTGCCCACGCCGTATACGTCACTTATATCTTTTTCTGAAATGTCTATTTTTAGCGCGTTGCTTAGATCACTACACAGCTTCGGGATTTCCGAAATTGTAGAATTTTCTAATCCAAATACTACTAGATTATTTTTCTTGCAAGTTATTTGCATACTTTCTAGGGCTTTTCGCAGAGATAAATTTTCATTCTCCAGCCGTTTAATTTTATCGTTTAGACTTTCTAAGATTTTGTTTTGACTGTCTTCTATTGTGCTTTTTAATTCTTTTTTGATAATATCTAATTCTTTTAGTATTTTGTTTGTGTCGGTTTCATACATTTTTGTGTATGGTACCCTTTATATATTTCGTGAATACAGCAGATATTTTGTTTTCGAGCGAAGTGACACGGAAATACTTAAATAGAATGTAAAATGTTAGGTTTTCTTTTAAATTTTAGTGCAGAATTACAGCTGCATTTGACGTAGCTTAATATTTTTTTAATATCATTAGTGAATAATAAATAAATAAACAATTTATAGAAAAATGTAATCAAATATACAATAATATTCACAGTGTGTTGATGTAATAGGTAACAGTAAAATTAAAAGAGTAAATTAAATTTGGACCATGATTTTATTTTAAGTAGATCAGAATTTATAGTTGAAATATTAATTTCTTGAGATGATATTAGTATTATCAGCAGAAAGGAAAATTTTTCCATCGGTTTTTACAATAGTGATGTCATATAAGGAAAAGTAGAGGTCCCAATACTGAACCTTGTGGTACTTCACCTACAATACTTTTTTAACTAGAGTCAGTATCACTATTTGCTTTAACCAGTTGTTCCCATTTCTCTAAGTAAGATTGGAACCAATTCAAAGAAATACTTCGACTTCCGTAATAATTTAGTTTTTTTACCAAAATGTCGTGATTTACACAATCAAAATTTGACATAAGGACAAAAAACAGTGAGAGTGTAAATATTACTGTTTATTATTTGATAAACCTCATGTAGTACAGAGCACATAGCAGTACTAGCATTTGATTAAAAACACCTAACAACTTGGTGGTATTGAATAATGGAAATCTTACAGCTGAGCGCTACAGATTGGACTACAGGATCATGTAGTACCTAATGCCTCTTACATTGGCTAACATTTTTTTATTAAGGCACGATAATGCTAGACCCCACGCAGCCCAATTAGATCGTGATTATCTCTTGAAAATTTGTATGGAAACAATGGGCTGGCTTACTCGTAGTCCCGACTTTCATCCACAAAAAATGTCTGGGATATGCTTGGGAGGCAATTAATATCTCAACCGAACCGGCACGGCCCAACAACAACCAAAAAATAGTTCTTACTTTAACCATGAATGATGACAGATGTTAGGGCGTAATTAAAAGAAGGGGTATAAATACCCCATATAAGGGTTAACACAATCAGTAAATGTTGACTCGTTTAGAAAATAAAATTTTTAATTTTTCTTTTTTTTTTCTTTTCTAACGATTTGGGCCATCTGTTTTAGCAATAGATTTTGTAAAAAAATATTTATTTGAAAGTACCTTAATAAAACTTATTGAAATATATTAGTTGATATGATAATTTAATTTTATTAATAAATATACTAAGATATTTACTAATTATTATTAGTATGACTTGTTAAGTTAGCTTTATTTGGTGCTAATCAAAAATATTTTCGAATCTTGCCAATAATCATTGGTTGCATGTCAAAAGCATTTTAATGTTAAAACAATTATTATGTTGAGAAGTTTAGCCTGTTTTTTTAATATATCTTCTGTATATTTTCGGTTTAAGCTGTTTGAAAGAATTTGCTGTTATAATAATATGTTACGCTAATGGAAATGAGATCTAAATTAATCCATAATAAAAGAAATATACATATTAGTTTACATTTATTTTTTTAGTTTATATTTTTAAAACAAGTAAAATCTCCGCAGTACCGATATGCCCATTATAAATTTATTATTGGTTTTAATCTACTTATCTTTAGGCATCCACGAGAAGAAGACCAAGAAGAGGAACAAGAAGAAAATTTAGTTGCCAACAGTAAATCTCTAAATGTAAAAGAAGACTCAAGTTTAAGATGCCTCCTACCCCAAGTGAGTAAAATCTTGTAAAATCATGTACCTTGTACGGTGGAGTGTATGATATTTGAATTCCCTTTTCTGAACAAAACTTTAAAATTGCATTAGAACAATACTCACCTCCATTGTCACATTTTAATTTTGAGATAGGTTTATTACAAAATGATGATGTCACTTTCGCTGTATAATCTTTAAAACAATTGTAAACTTCGTCCTTTCCTTTTACAGTATATACCATAACAAACCTAGAAAAATCATCAACAAACGTTATGAAATACTTATAACCATTACGTGATGTTGGTGTGATTGGACCACATACATCTGTATGAACTAATTCAAGAACTCTAGTACTTCTGGATATTTTCGAATTATATGGAAAACATTTTTGTTTCGATTGTACACAAACATCACAAATTTTATCAACCTTTGATTTGGTAAACTCTAAACCATTAACTATATTTAAATTTTTAATTTTTGAAATAGAACCATAATTCAAATGACCATACCTTTTGTGCCAAATATCTATATTTAGTGCTAAATTTGCAGATTCAATATTAGATTCAACATTGATTTTAAATATAATTTTATATAAATTATTAAGACGTTTACCTATTACAAAAACATTATTATCTTTTTTTTATAAAAATCTTACCGTCATAACATACAACTTCAAATCCTGCCTTTTCAATGGTAGGTATAGACAACAAATTTGCTCTTAATTTTGGTACACAAAATACATCTTTTAAAGTAATTTTCACATTTCTATTTTCCACCACACTTGTCACTTGTAAATCACCTATGCATGTTGCCTCCATACTTTTTCCTTTTTCTGCCAGTTGTATTTCTGTTCTCTCTGCAAATCTTTTCTTGTTTATCAGTAGTTCTTCATTGTTTATATAATGATGTGTAGCCCCCGAGTCTGCATACCACTCTAAGATTAAACCGTCTACACTTTCAGATGTTGCACAGAAAGCAACAGCATTATCCTCTTCTCCATTACATTCATTCATAGCATAATTTGCCCTGTTTCCAATTTTTTGTTTGTCATTCACATTCTGCTTTTGACTAAACATTGACTTGCTCTGTGTCCCATCTTACCACAGTTGAAACATTTAATTCCACATACATTCTTCACATGCCCAATTTTTCCACACTTAAAGCATTTTACTTGCTTTTCTGTTGCACTAAAAGATGAAGGCAAAACTTTTGTGCTTCTTGAATTTTTATTGGAATGAAATTCCAACAACCTACTTTTCACAAATTCTACTTTTAAATCATCTTCTGATAAAGTTCTTATGGCTGTGACTACATTTTCAAACTCTTGTGGCATTGACAATAATAGGAAACAAGACATATCAGATTCATCAAAATTACTTCCCAGATTTTTAAGTTCTCTGAACAGTCGATCATATCTTGAGAAATGATCCTGAATATCTATGTCATTGGTGTATTTTAACGTTGTTAATTCTTTTAATAAATAAAACTTAGAACACGTACCTTTTTTATCAAAAATTCCTTCCAGTTTCTTTATCATATCATGAGCTATTTCCACTTCTTTGATGTATTCCAAATGCGAGTCAGCAATACTTTGAATAATTACCATACATGCTTTATTGTTTTTCTTGTGCCATTCCTCATTTCTATCAACCGCGGGAACCGGCTTCAAAGCTTCACTACATTCCAGGGCCTTCAATACTGAAAACAACCTAAATTTCCAGTTATCAAAACTGTTTCCATTAAAAGGTATTATGCCATATTTGTTTTCAGTTGACTTCTCCATTTTTGAACTTTCACAACCACGTGTGCCTTTACTAGCCTCTTTTCACGTTTTTATCTTTTCTTAATCAACACACTCTTTGTAAATCTGGGCCCATAACCAATATTATATAGATTAATATAAAATAAAAGAATGTGTTGATATTTTTATTTTATTAATAACTCAAAAACGTGATACATAAAAATACATAATTAAAAATGTGGTTCCATTACAATACTATATACCGTTGACACTGACACACGTCAGTCGCGCTGTCAACCATAGACAGGTTTGTCTCCTATTAAGGACTATTTATTTAACAAGTATTAGCTTTTGTTCAAAATTCCAGATAGTCCAGTCGTTAGAGATCATAAATCTCTAATCTAAATCATACGAACAAGGTGAATTTTATTGGTAATGTACATTTTAAGAAACCAAAAAGATACCGATAAGTTTACCACCGCTATCCCTTGACTTCCCCCTAAAACGCGTCCTCGTAGCGCAAGAGAGAAACGGAAAAAATCGATTTATCAAGAATCTGTACGTAGTAGAAAAAAGTTTTAAATAAAAAACTATAGAAAGCTTGTTTTTATATTTACATTTATTTTTTAATTGTTTGTTTATTACTTCAGATTCTAGCATCACTTGCAGCAGCTGCATTTCATATTGGAAATGGAACATCGATGGCGTATTCTGCGGTACTCATTTCACAATTGGAGGAAGACGGTAGCGATTTTAAAGCAACGAAATCAGAAAATGCCTTTATGGGTAAGACAGTGTATATAACGTACTAGATAATAACTCTTTTCCTATACAATATGGTTTATTATATAATAATTGTCTATTTAAACTTGAAAATTAGATAACATTGCTAAACTAAACATTTCGTTTAGCCCTGTATTTTAAATAGTCTTAATGAAAATATTTGATAATTTAGAAACAACATTTTTTTATATAATATGGTACATATATATGAATTAATTATATCGCATCTTGATGAGAAAAGATGCTAAAGCTCGGCCCTGTTTTATGTTCAAATCCCGAACCTAGAGTACCTACTCTAAAAATAATAAGAAGAACTAAATGTGGTAACTTTGGTGGCCATTAGATTAATCTCCTTCGTCTAATTATTTGGAAAGTAATTTTTCATAAAATTACTTTTAATGTACAATGTGGGTCGTATCATCTTGTCATGCCCAAAAACTGGTTCTATTTGCGTCTAATCCATAAAAAATTTAAAGCTTCATTAGAACAGTGTTATTCTTTGCTATTATGTATGGCTATATATGTTCCATCTTTCAATATTTATTGTTCAGCTATATCTTATGTCACTCTAACCAGTGCGTTTTACTGGTTTTTACATATGGTGCAGAAACACTGACTCTGACAAAAAGAACAATAGATAAAATAATAGTTACACAATGCGCTATGGAAAGATCAATATTAGGTATTACCATCAGAGATAAAGTACCAAACCTAGAAATAAGAAGAAGAACAGGAGTCACAGATGCAACTAAAAAAAAGGAAAGGCTAAATGGGCTTGAGCCGGACATGTTGCCAGATTAACAGATGATAGATGAACCAGAAAGATTCTGGAATGGAAACCAAGGCAAGAGGCATATCGAAGCAGAGGATGACCACCGGCTAGATGGACGGATGATATCAAGTGCATCACCACAAACTGGATGCAAGAAGCTTAAAATAGAAATAGGTGGAAAATTTTATGGGAGGCCTACGTTCAGCAGTGGACAAATATAGGCTGATTGATGATATGTCATCTTAGAGATTTAGAACTTTATATGAAAGTGTACGACGGGAAAAAATTCAGTATTCGAATATTATAAAAGACGTAAATGTTTTATCTTCAGCATCAAAATTACTAGATGAAGTCGATGAATGTTTTTTAGATGATCAAATTGACTTTAGTACTATTGAAAGACTTGTGTAATAGCCAGACAAAGATTTCACGCATAAAATCTGCATAAAAATTATAATATAGAATATATTTTAATATTAGATTAAGATTAAATTAAGATTCTTGAAAAATTTTTTCCTTATATACAAGGCATGGGAGCTACTAATGATCATCTTCATCCTCTAGAATTTAAATATCGCCTTAGATGGTTCATATTAGGTAAGAATTCAGCTGCTGTTTTTACTAAAAATAGAAATACAGAAGAACATGGTGAACATTGTTTATGGACTCCTTTTGAATCTAGTCATGACCAATTACAAATTGTAGATGAAAATATCTGTTCGACTGGAAACATGTTCAAGAGGGTATCAATACTTACCACAAAACAACAACAACAAAACCGGGTCCAACAGCGAACATTTACAATAGCTGCATCAGTTTGAATGCAAAGAAACTGTTAACAAAGAAGCCATAAAATATATTGCATGTTATGGTGTTTATAAGTTTAAAAATAAATATAAATACTTAGCCTCTAGCTGCGAGTTGGTCACAACAAATAAGTCCAATTAATGGTTAACTTGTATTTCAAGAGGTGGCCTTTTAAATCCGACTGATAATTTAATGGAAACTGCAGAAATGCTAGAAACAGAGTTCAATTTAATGCATGAAACGTCACTTTCTAAAGAGAAAAAAGTATTTTTATTAATAGCTGACCGTACTGTTGCCAAGCTTGGTAATGAAGCAAATATACCTTATGAAGTTTTTTATTGCCTTATTAATATATATTATATTTTGATCAAATTGTGTAAGAAATCAAAACATAAACAAAGTTCCTACTCTAAAAAAGCGGCAACACTTAATACACTTTTGCCACCTGCTAAACTGTCAAAAAAATTTGAAGTATTTCCGTATCAGTTGCGTACAATTGTCTAATAGATTTAATTAAAATTATTAATTTGTGGAATATTAGACTTAAAGAGTTTTTATAATATTAATAACAAATGTTTTTGGTTATTTAATCAATATAATTCTAAAATTTCCCATATAATGATGATTACACTTTTCTGATTATTCCACCATGTTGACGCCTATGAAAGATCGAGCAGTTCCGTATGGGTTTCGTATAATTAGTTGTGTTAGGAAAATTTGAACTCTAAGGTTGATGTTCTGGAAATTTTAAATACAAGTGACGTCACTTTGTAGAAATCGTGACGTGCAAGTGTTTTACTTTGAAAAATTGTATAAGTGTATCGTGGTCTTAGTAGTCTTAGTGTTTTTCTTATATTGGAGAGATGGGCCTCTTGAATTGTAGTTACGCTACTGCATTCGCAGCTTATGTATATATGTGCCAAATATCAAAGCAAATACATTTTCTGCATTTTCAACACATAAACTAAACCCCAAAAAACTAGAAAAATATTTAAACTTAATATTTTTTCAGAATTATTTGTTGTTTTTAAACGATTTGTATAATGTTTGTTAATGTGACAATATTAATGTGACAAATTTCATATAATACTAATCTAATAAACCTCATTTCAGACGTTTAACATTTAAAACTCTTTTCTTTTTTCAGCTAGCATTATCATCCTAATAGCCCCTTTTGCATCAATCGCTAGCGGTGTGTTAATGGACAAATTCGGTCGGCTAAATACGATAAAACTTGCAATAGTGCCTGGCGTTTTGGGTTGGGTAGCGCTTGCGTTGGCTCCTAACATGAAGATAATTATTATGGGCAGGATATTAACTGGAATTGCATCATGTAAGTTAACTATTTTCGACGTAAAAGCGTGAAATAAGTAGCTTGTTACAAACAAGCCATGGAATATTTGACGGTAATAGGACACGTGCTTCTCATAAAGAGCATACAACTTTTATATTGGTCTGTTTTAACGTGTAATTTAAAAACAATTACTTAAACATGTCTAAAGTTTAAAAGAGCTTAATTGCTAAACCGTTTAACTATATGTAATGTTTTTGTTTGTTAAAAGTAACAGAATAAAACGCTTTAATACCTTATCATAGTGTTTAAAGAAAATCAAATATCTTACATATTCTCTTAATTACCAAAAGCCACTAGATAATAATAAAAGACAGTAGATGATAAAAATAGATCCAAAATTATCGAGAAGCACACAACTAATCTATTTATTCTGTCCTTTACAAAAACTATTTCTTGCAAAATATGCTTTTGCCTATTTTCTCTTTCTTGGTAAAGTAAGTATTGCTGTTTTTCCTGGCTATAAAAAATCTTCCATTGCTTTTTATTTTGTAGGCGTTAAACATTTTTTGAGTAATTTTTCCTACTCCAATTCGAGCCTCCAATTGCTTGGGCTGTAGCATTTGCAATTTCATTGATTTTTTGGTATATATTGGAATTCCCTCGTGTAGGTGATATATTAAAATCCCTCATAAATGTTTGAAAAATCGAAGAATATTTTTAATGTATTTGTTTTCTATTCGTACGTATTATAGCGGCTTCCCACGGTCGGTAATATTGCGGACGTAAGCGGACCAGCCCGCACCACGCACCGTGGGAAAAGTCTCGTCCGTGGTAGCACAGACACGTCCGTTCTGGTGCGTCCTATCCATCTAGAGTCGGTAACATCAAAGGTGCGGTATATACTTGTGCTCGCGATCCTAGCGCTTCTGTGTTTTAACAGACAACTGCAAGTCAGAAGTTTTTCATTCGCTGATACGAGTAGTTGTCTGTAGTGTTGTCACTTGTCACTACAAGTTGTTTTGCAGTTTTTTGCTAAAAAATGGAATGGACAAACGAAGTTATTTTTGATTTTTTAAATTTGTATCAAAATGAAACAAATTTATGGAATTCTACGGCACCAGAGCATAAGAAACGGAACCGATATATACGATGTATGGAACCGAATAAAAAAATCAATTGAAGATTAGTACTATTTCGATTAAAGAATTAAAAAAGAAGAGAAATAATTTAATGCCAACATACAAAAGGCAAAAAACGAAAGTTGGAGAATCGATGGGAACTGGAAGTGGGGCTGATGATGTTTACAAGCCTGAGTGGCCTTTTTATCATATAATCAAACAATACTGTCACGGACCTACACAGACTGTCACGGACCGTAGGAAGAGCTCTGTCTGCGGTGCGTTGTCGTCCGTGCTGATCGGCTGTCCGCGATGATCTGTAGAATCGCCGATCGTGGGAAGCCACTATTAAAACCCAAATATGTTTTCAATTCCTTCTTAAGTCGGCTCGAGAATATAAACCATTTTATAGTTTGTTTATATTTTACAGATGTTACTTCTTTGGTATTTCTTTTAATATTTTATTCGAACTGCTTAAACTGCGTTTTCTAACAAATGATTTGCGTTTCAACCATTTAAAGTGTTTGTTTATTCTAACTTATGCGATCAATTTCTAAGAATAATTTCGTCACTATCGTTGGAGCCGCGGTGAGAAGCAGTCAGCGTTATGTCCAAATTTTACGTCTTATAGTGGCTTCCTACGATCGGCGATTCTACAGATCTTCGCGGACAGCCGATCAGCACGGACGGCAACGCACCGCAGACAGAGCTCTTCCTACGGTCTGTAACAGTCTGTGTAGGTCCGTGACAGTATTGTTTGATTATATCATAAAAAGGCCACTCAGGCTCGTAAACATCATCAGCCCCACTTCCAGTTCCCATCGATTCTCTAACTTTTGTTTTTTGCCTTTTGTATGTCGGCATTTAATTATTTCTCTTCTTTTTTAATTCTTTAATCGAAATAGTACTATTCTTCAATTGATTTTTTATTCGGTTCGATGCATCGTTGCGGTTCTTATGCTCTGGCGCAGTGGAATTTCATAAACTTGGTTCATTTTGATACAAATTAAAAAAATCAAAAATAACGTCGTTTGTCCATTCCATTTTTTAGCAAAAAACTGCAAAACAACTTTGAGAACACTACAGACAACTACTCGTGTCAGCGAATAAAAAACTTCTGACTTGAACTTGTCTGTTAAAACACAGACGCGCTAGGATCGTGTTGCACGAGCATATACCGCACCTTTGATGTTACCGACTCTAGATGGATAGGACGCACCATCACGGACGTGCCTGTGCTACCACGGACGAGACCTTTCCCACGGTGCGTGGTGCGGGCTGGTCCGCTTTCGTCCGCAATATCGCCGACCGTGGGAAGCCACTATTAATTTTCGTTGTGTTTTGTTTATTTTCAAGTTATGTGAACGAATTTTTAAGATAATTTCGTCATTCTTACTTGGGTCGCTGTAGGCTGAGGTGTGGATTCAAATTCATCCGTCGAATTTGTAGTTTTCTGTTTTTGGCCCCTTTTTATGGAAATATGTAGCAGTCAAAAGTAAATTGTGAAGTATGTCTACTTACAGAGGAGGTTAAAAAAGTATTTACGAGATTTGTGTTGCCTGCAGCAATTCTGATGTTCCAGTTTTTTTCCAGTTGAAGTGATTCTTGAATCTCGCTTTCTTGAAGCAGTTTGTTTAGTTCCAGTTATAGTTCCAGTATTCTAGTGTAAAACTCAGTGCAGTCCAGGTAACTTTTGTGTAAATATTTAAAGTAAAGAAGACATTTTGTTAATTAATCTTTTGCTTTCGTTTATAATTTGAGGATTTATAATAATTAATAAATTATAAAATTTTAGTGTTTGACTTTAGCTGTCAATTTGTGTAATCAGTTTTTTTAAATTTATGTTAACTTATGAGAGTTCGTTTTATTATTTTTGATTTTAGTTTGTTTTATTTTTAAAGAAGATTAAAGTTTCTTTGTTTTTCTTGTTCTCTGTAACTATGAATCTATATGTAAATTTGTGCCATTATTTTTATAACTGTTTGTGGTAAGACACAATAAATGTTTCTTAACATTTTGTCTATTTTTTTAAATTAATCCTTTTTTAAATAGTATCCCAAGTTATCGTTACAAAAATGTCGCCCAGATAGGTTTTGATTATTTTATAATTATTTCCCTAGTTACAACTAGTGGTTGTAATAGGTATAATTAGGCACCTCAAAGTGGCCCCCTATATTAAATTACTAGAGGTGTTTCCTGTTTATTTTTATTTTGTTTGTCTAAATAGATTATATTAGTACCCCTTTTGTTTATTTTCTCTGTAGTTGCCCCAATACAACCCCCTTGCCATTTACTTATCCACGACCCCAGCTCTCCTAACAAACCCTGAGTTCCGTTTGCACAAGTAGCGTTTATTTTGCTTGTCCTATCTTTACCCCCATAATCTTACCCTGAGGTAGGCAAAATATCTATTCGTTACCAAGCTAACATTAACCTAACCACAAGTTCCCCGATTTTTTTCGTGGACTACGCAATATATTTCGGGGACTGTATATGAACTACGCAAAACTGTACTGTGATGAACTCCATATTTCGTAGTATTATTTGCTGTAGAATTTCTTTAGTTGTAAATTATAGTTATGTTCGATTGCCGTGTGGGTACTGTTCTTGGAAGTTTTAGAACAGTCTTAGTATGTCGTGATAATGTTCAGTAGAGGAATGTCGTGAATGTCCTCTTAAACTGATCTCGTAGTAAATAAACATGTCTTTTAGAAAATATTGAACAGATGTTGGATATAAGAAAAGGAGTGTTTTTATTGGGATTAATTTTATATCAAGGGTTTATATGAATTATTATTAAAACTGAAATTCCAACGATAAAAAATGATTGAATTGCACATTTCAAGGTATTTTACCTAAAATTTTTATAAAATCTTAAAAGGGGAAATTCTAATCATCCTTTATTAATTATTTTAAATATTACAAAAATATAATATATCTTATAAGTGGTAATCAAAAATAACTGAAGTGGGCATTTCTATTATTATGTTATCATATTTTATTGGCTGGTAATGATTTTTTAAATTCCCTATATTTATTTAAAACAGCTTAGATTGTTTATAATTTTAGTATATTAGAAACCTGTATTATAATCAGTATCAATCTTCCTGCGGCCAGCCTTTACATTTTCATGTTAAAGTTATTCTTCCAGTAAATCCATTTAATATTTTTTTTCTATTTTGAGCAATAAAAAATTGGAAAAAAGTAGACAGTTGATGTATTTATGTCTGAATGCAAAAAACATGGATCGACCTCACCTAGTCTTTGTTTCGATACACGCTAAGTGGGATTCAAAGAAGATAATGATTTCTTGATGTGATGTTATTGGTTATCTGACAACGCGTCATCAGATAGTGTTACCTGAAGACCTAATTGACCGAAACCTAAACATTTGCAATACTCTTATTATTGTTCTGAAGCTATTTTCTTGTGGCATTTTAAATTAATTGCTATTTAACTGGAATAAGCCACAATTAAAGACAAAAATACGTTTATTTTCGTTTCAATTTCCACTTCGGAAATCGTTCTCAAAATACAAACGGTTTGTATTTTAATGAGAAAGTGACTGGAATGGGTCGAAATAGACAGCAAGGACACATAAAAGACAAAAAAGGAGTACTACTAATACATTTACCAGAAAAGTTTAAACGATGGGAGGAGTACGTTAGAGAACTTTTCCAAGATGAAAGAGATACAGAATACAGAATACAGAAAATACAAGAATTAAATCTTTTAGAGAGACAGAAGATCACGATAGATGAAATCAAATATGCTATCAAAAAATCTAAAGACAATCTGGCAGCTGGATTAGATGAAATACCAGTAGAACTGTTAAAACTAGTGGAAGAGGATAACTTGGAAGTATTGACAGATTTATTCAACACGGTGTACGATACGGGAATAATACCACAAGACTGGCTGAAGTCAGCATTTACAACCATTCCTAAAAAACAAGCAGCAAAAGAGTGCTCTGATTATCAAAAACTGAGCCTCGTGAGTCATACTTTAAAAGTTCTGCTAAAAATAATACATAAGAGAATATACGAAGGGCTAGAGGAGGATATTAGCGAGACGTAGTTCGGGTTCTGAAATGAAATGGGCACTCGAGAAGGACTATTTGCCATCAACATATTAGTTCAGCGATGTCGGGATGTAAATGTTGATCTACACTTGTGCTTCGTTTACTACGAAAAAGCTTTCGATATAGTAAGACATGAAAAACTAATATCAATACTTATGAACAAGCGCATTGACAGTAAAATCATAAATATAGTGCAAACATTAAATTGGAACCAAAGTGCCATAGTTCAAATTGATGGGCAACACTCATGAAGAAATGAGGATCTGTAGAGGAGTTTGATAGGGATGTGTTTTATCACCACTTTTGGTTTAACTTATATTCTGAAGAAATTTTCCAAAACACGCTCAATAATATCGAAGCGGGAGTCACCGTTAACGGATAATTAATTAACAACTTAAGATACTTATGCAGTCAACACTCTGTGATCACATCAACGAGTACAGAGGATCTACAACATCTTAGTAGTAGAGTATGAATAGTGCTGAGATAGGAATTACTATAAACACTAAAAAAACGAAGTACATGCTAATTACAAAAGACCACCAAATATACATCATCTATTGACAATCAATGGTAACGTGATAGAACAAGTAGAAAATTATCACTACTTGGGAACTTTGATCAATGAAACCAATGATCATACTGTAAAAATAAACAGGCGAATAGAGATTGCCAGATCAGAATTTATACGAATGAAGCCACTCCTAACGTGCAAAAATCTAAATTTGGAGATCAGAATACATATCATTCGCTGTTATATATTTTTAATATTATTATATGGAGCTGAGACTTAGACATTAAAAAAAGTAATTTAAAAAGAATCGAGGCCTTCGACCTCTGGTTAGACCGCAGAGTATTGAAAATATCATGGACTGATAGAATTACAAATAAAGAAGTACTGAAGAAGGTTGGTAAAGAAACAAAACTAATCACCACTATACAAACCAGAAAACTGGAATACCTAGGCCACGTGATGAGGGGACCAAAATATGAAATTTTAAGACTCATAATATAGGATAAGATTCAAGGAAGAAGATATGTTGTCCGAAGGCAGAACTCATGGTTAAAGAATCTACGTGATTGGTATCAATGCAGATCGATTGAATTGTTTACAGCAGCTAAAAGTTCTAAAATAAAATAAAAATAGCCATTATGATTGCCAACCTTCGTAGGTAGACGACACTCTAAGAAGAAGAAGAACTTTCTACACATATTCATTTCCATATTGCAAGTACCAAATGCTGAAAAAACTCATGGGGCATTTTATAAAAATCTTTAGTTCTCCGCCTTTAAATTCAGATATCTGTATAATTGGTTGCCGACCTGTATTCATAACTTTTATCAGCCTTTAGTACATACAATTTACAAATTTTCCAACAAACTTTCAGGATCTTCTTTAAGTGCCATCCCTGTGACGAAGGTTGGCAATCATCATGGCTATTCTGACCTTCGAGGCAGCTGCTCTGAACAATTGCTTTGAACTGCAACCAAACCACTCTCTTAGGTTCTTCAACCAGGAAATGTGTCCTCTTCCTATGCTTCTCCTACCCTCTATTTTTCCTTGAACTATGTCTCAAGATGTTGAATCTTTCGCCTCTCATTACATGTCCGAGATATTGCACTTTCAGCATAAATCTACTAAATTACAACATATTGATGGTTACTACTGTTATTATCAATAAAATTGTAACATATTTAATTTTAAATATTGCTGAATGCTGTCACATTAAGACACATACCTCCGGTTACACTTACTGTTTTGTTCAGACTTTCGTCCTAATATGTTATTTTAATCAGTTGCTATCTTCAAGTACTCACAGACACTTTGTCTAAGAACTAGCAACCTCAGTGGAGTCTTCCGTTGCGATGTGATTAATTCCTTTTGTAATCTAAACATCATAGTTTTTAATTATCAAAGATGTAACTTAAAGTTACCCACTCATTTACGCACATATTTAGTGGCTTCGAACATGTAAATCCAGTAAGTATTAACCATACTTTTTGTAATCACATTGGTCAAAAGTTTAACTCTTACGTTTGATTTAATTAAAGTGGTTATACTTATTTAAGCATAGCACTGATGATAAAATAGTTATTCCGAAAACGTTCTGTGATGTAGCTTGATAGGGTTTTTATTATTATACCTTGTATAAACGAATTTCTTAAATAAAATTTTTGTGATAGAATGTATACAGCCAACTACAGGAATTTAGTTTCCTTGTGAATTTTCTTTATATTTTATTTCATCAATCATGTTTAACTTTAAATTCATTTATTAATTTAATTTAGTTTTCCTTATCTATTACTATCATATTGAAACCTGTTTTCAGTATTTATAACTTAATTATTTTATTTTTTTTTTATTATTTACAATTTATTTTACTTTAAAATTTATCATCTTTAATTTATTTAAGCCTGGGGTACGAATCCTGCTATTGTCTACATCACCGAAATTGCTCATCCAAAATTAAGAATGTCGCTTATGCAACTATCACCAACTTACGTGTCACTAGGTAAGCATAATCTTTATATAACTTTTTATTAATAGGAACCACCTGAACAAACAGTTCTCATTTGTAGGCATGATTTTTGTATATCTGGGAGGAATGTATACAACTTGGAGAATGGTGGCTTGGTTTAGTAATATATTAATTATAGTACCCGTCATATTCGTATTCTTTATACCCGAAAGTCCAATGTGGTTGATATTAAAAGGACGAACGAAAGAGGCTAAAAAGTCGTTGGAATGGTTAAACAAAAAGCAACCACAGCCCGAAGGAAAAGTAGGTAACACTATACACTGACTGCTTTAATATATTCTTGAACGAAATTCTCAAAAGCATCACTTGTAGCAAACGACAGAATTCACCAAAAAAACTTTTACTAGTAAAATTTATTTGTAGAAATTATAACAAAAAACATTTTAATCAAAATTGACAAACTCATAAAATTAAAATTTGTTTTTAATAAATAACATAAAACAATTTTATGGTAGTGGTAAATTTGTAGACACTAACTTTTTATTCAGATGCGATTATCACGTTGCTTAATTCTTTTCTTCTTTCCCCATTCATCCTATCTCTATCTATCAAATCAGCCTTAAACACCCACTCTTGGGCATAGGTCTCCCCTGTTAATCTCCATTGGTCTCTATTTTGGGCGATCTGCATCCAGTCCTTTCCTGCCGTTCTCTTAAGATCGTCAGTCCATCTCATCTGTGGTCTTTCTCTTTTTCTTTTCTGTTCCCATGGTCTCCAGTGTAGAATTCGCTTATTCCATCTTTCATCTTTTTGCCGGAGAGTGTGACCGGCGAAGTTCCATTTAAGTTCTGCAACCTGTCTTGATGCATCGTTCACCTTTGTTTTTTCTCTGATCCATGTGTTTCTTTTCCTGTCTTTAAGGCCGATATCCAGCATCTGTCTTTCCATTGCTCTTTGTGTTTTGGATATCCTGTCGATGTTCTCCTTTGTGAAAGTCCATATTTGTGAGCCATATGTGATAACTGGTAAAATGCACTGATTGAATACTTTTGTTCGCATATATTGAGGGAACTTTTTATTTTTTAGAATATATGATAGTTTACCAAATGAGGCCCATGCTAGTCTAGTTCTTCTTTTTATTTCTTCTGTTTGATTGTCCCTGTTTAGCTTTTTTATCTGTCCTAGGTATATGTATTCTGCCACCTGCTCTAATTTATTCTGTTTGACTACTATTTCTAATTGGTCTTCTTAGTTTGTCATAGTCTTTGTTTTACTATAGTTCATCACTAGACTTACCTCTGTCGCTTTTCTGTCTAGTTCCTCAACTATCTTCTGTAACTCTTCCTTCTTATCTGTTATCAGGACTATATCGTCTGCATATCTCAAGTGGTTCAAGAGATCTCTCCATTTATTCTTATTCCGTATGTATCCCATTCTAATTTTTTAAATATGTCTTCCATAGCCTGATTGAACAGTTTTGGCGATATTGTGTCTTACTGCCTGATTCCTCTTTCGAATTTTATTGGTTCTGTAGCGTGTTCGTTCGTCAATTTTATTGTGATACTCGCATTTTTGTATATGTTTATTATTAGGTCCGTGTACCTGTAATCAATTCTGCCGTTCTGTAGTGGGTTTTTGATGGCCCAATGTTCTATGCTGTCAAACGCCTTTCGGAAGTCTATGAATGCCATGTATAATGGGATTTGATACTCGTTCGACTTTTCAATCAGTATTTTTACTGTTAGCAGATGGTCGCTAGTACTAAAACCCTTTCTGAATCCCGATTGTTCTCTTTCTTGGTATTCGTCAAGCTTAGTTGTTAGTCTATTTGTCATGATCTTCGTTAGTAGTTTAAATACAACACTTAGTAATGTTATAGGTTTATAATAGTGTCTCCGGATCGTTCCAGCTATCGGGTATTTCTTTTGTGGTCAATATTTTTTTCATGAGGATATGTAGGACTTCTCTAGTTGTTTTCCCTCCTCTCTTCAGCATCTCTGCAGTTATTCCATCTTTTCCAGGTGACTTATGGTTTTTTAATTCTTGAATTGCTTTCTTGACTTCTGTTTTACTTATTTCTGGTTGTAGGTTAGAGTTTATTTTTTATTTTTGTGTTTAATTGTTTAAGAATTTCTTGCTGTGGATTATGTCTTGGTGCGTATAGTATTCTTGTGTTAACTTTATTATTTGTTTCATATCATTAATGGTTGTTCCTTCGCTGTTTGTAATTTTATTTATCTGAGTTTTACCGAGTCGTTGTTTTAAGCATTTCATATTTTTGTTCTGCTGGATTACTCTTTCAATCTTTGCTTCCTGCGTTTTTCTCTTGGTTTTTTTTTATGTTTTTTTCTAATTGTTTTATTGATTTCAGTATATTCTACTGTGTTTCTTTTGCCCGGTTCACGTAGGCTTCTTCTTGTCTTCATCAAGTTTTCTACTTCTTCTGAGATATAATTGTCCTTTTTTTCGTCGATTTTGCAATTCTTTCCCCGGCCTGTAGCAATGTAGTTATTAGTATTTCATTTATTTCATTTGTTTCTTTATTTATTAAGTCGGTTGCATTTGGGATGCATTTTTTATTTCTTCTTTGTACTTTTCTTCGTTTTGGCTAAGTTTCTCCATATCTAGTTTTTGTACGTTTTTGATTTTCTTTCTGGTTTCAAATTGGCTGTTAATTTGTATCTTAGCCTTCACCATTCGGTGATCGCTGCCTGTTGTGAAACGGTTTAGCACTGTGATATCCTTGACTACGTATTTTTGTGTTGGTAATGTGTAGTCGATCTCGTTCCTAGTTTTGGTGTCAGGGCTTATCCAGGTCCATTTTCTCTGTGGCTTTTTGTTGAAAAAGGAGTTCATGGCGTAGAGTTTCCTTTCCTCCATGTAGTTCATCAGGATTGTCCCCATGGACGTGTAAATAAAGACGTCTTTATTTATACGTCCATGGTTGTCCCTCTTTCGTTTCGTACACCATATTCATATTTTCCTATTTTTGTTTCTTCGTCATTTAGTCTTTGTCCTAGCTTGGCGTTGAAATCTCCCATCACAATCGTTAGTCGGGTCTTTTCTTTATCCAATGCTTTTGATATTTCTTCATAGAATGTTTCAATGTCTTCATCTGAGTATGTACTGGTTGGTGCGTATATCTGAATTAGTTTCAAAGTTGTTCTTTTAAATTTAATTATCATATATGCCACTCTATCTGATATTCCTTTGATAGTCCATTCATCCTATTTATGCTTAAATTTTGCCTCCTATCACTCTCTCTTACTTTTCTATTTTCATCTGGGTACTCAATCTCTGATTAGATTGCCTTTCTTCCTGTTCTTTTCTCATTATGGACCTATAGACTCTTTCCATTGACCCGGACAGGTTAACGTCTTCTCCATCATTTATATGATTACCTATTCTTCTTCTTCTTTTTGTGCCACTCCTATCGGAGATTGGAAATCATCAAGGCTATTCTGACCTTGTTTACGGCTGACCTAAAGAGTTCATTAGTGGTGCAAACCACTCTCTCAAATTCCGCAACCATGACATTCTTCTACGGCCTGGATTCCGTTTTCCTTCTATTTCTCCCTGCATTATATTTTGAAGTAATGCGTATTTATGTCTTCTCATCAGGTGACCAAAATATTCGAGTTTTCTTCGCTTTAGCGTTAACAAAATCTCTGAGTCTTTTCCTATTCTTCGTATTACTTCACAGTTTGTTATTCTTTCAACCCAACTAATCTTCAGCATTCGACGGTAGCACCACATCTCGAAACTTTCAATATTTTTCATGTTGTTTTGTTTGAGAGTCCAGGCCTCTACACCGTATAATAGCGTGTTAAATACATAGCCTGTCAGCATTCTTAATCGTAGAGGGATGCTTATATTTCTGTTGCAGAAGAATTTTCTCATCTTTATGAAGGTGGCCCTGGAAATTTCAATACGTCTTTTTATTTCACTGTTTTGGTCTCCAGTTTCGTTTATTAAAGTTCCCAAGTATTTGTAACTTGATACTTTTTCAACTTGAGTACCGTTTATACTAATATACGCTGGCTGTGTCATGTTTTTACTGAAGACCATATACTTGGTTTTTTTTAATATTGATATTTATACCATAATTGTTGCAAGCAATATTTATGTCTGTAAGTAATCTTTGTAATTCTTCTACTGTTCTTGCAACTAGTACAGTGTCGTCCGCGTATCGAATATTATTTACAATCTCTCCATTAATTACGATTCCTCCGTTTGCTTGTAAAAGGGCTTCCTGACAGATGCTTTCACTATATACATTAAATAACAGAGGTGACAAAATGCAACCCTGTCGTACTCCTCTACGTATTTTTATTGCTTGTGATGTTTCAGTTTCTATTTTCATGTTAGCTTTCTGATTCCAATATAGATTGAGAATTATTCTCAGATCTTTATTATCTATGTCCTTCCTTTCAAGAATCTCTCTAAGCTTATCATGGCGTACTCTGTCAAACGCTTTTTCAAAATCGATAAAACACGTATGTACCTCCTGATTAACGTCTAGGCATCTTTGTGTGAGAACATTCAAACCGAAGAGAGCTTCTCGAGCACCAAGCACTTTTCTGAACCCCATCTGTGTATTACTAATATCTGACTCCAACTTTTGACAAACTCGGTTGTGGATGATTTTTAGAAATATCTTTAGTAGGTGGCTCATTAAAGATATTGTTCGATGTTCTGAACATTCTTTAGCATTAGATTTCTTTGGCAGTGTAACGAATGTAGACAACAGCCACTCTTGAGGTATAATACCAGTATTGTATATTGTATTAAATAAGTGCAATATTATACCTATTGATAAACCTATTGACAAAGAAGACTTTTGAAGAAGAAGTATTTTTTTGACAGTGGAGCAACAAACTATTAAACCTGAAATTACGTAAATTAAAGAAAATCAAAAAAGTTCTCTCTTTTTCTTTACAAATATTATAAATAAAATAAGCAATTTTACTTTTCAGAATGAAACATTTGCTGAAATCCAATTCAAAGTGCTCAAAAAACAGCACGAAGAAGCAGAAGCTAAAAGCAAAAACAAAGGAAGTTTTAAGGATATTTTACAGGAATTCCTGAAACCAACGGGATACAAACCACTTATCATAATGTGTCCTTTATTTTTCTGTCAACACTTTTCAGGAATATACATCACAATGTTTTACTCGATTACTTTTATAAAGGCAAGTATTGATTGATTAATACTTTATAGAATAATATTTTACATACTTTATAAGATTTGTTAAGACAGTATTACTATTGAGACATTTTTAGGTTAGTTTCTTCTTTTTAGTTTTTGTTTTCTTATTATTCTTTTAATAGAATTAGACCATACCTATCACTATGAGCTAGCTTCCTGAGGTCTGATGACGCTTGATGACTTCACTTAAATACTAGCTGATTTATCTGAAGTTAGTGTATTTTTTTCTTTTTCTCTTTTTTGTCTTGGCAGTGATATGTTTACTCTGGTATACTATAAATTATAATTGTTTGAAATAGGATGGCTGAATTCTTTCTGTAGATTGGTTTTTCTGCATTTGAAGAGTTCGTCGTTATATTGTCAGCATGGAGTCTTCTAGTTTTTTCGTTTTTTCAGCTTGGTCGTATCACGATTTTGAAGGATCTCAGTAAGTAATGGGTTCTCAGTCCCCATTCTTCTCACCACCTCGTTGTTGGTCACGTGGTCTGTCCAAGAGATCTTCAGCATCCTTCGAAAAACCCTCATCTCAAAGGCTTCTACACGTCTTATACTTATGATTCCGAGAGTCTACGTTTTCACTCCGTATAGCAATATGGAATAAATGAATGATTTTGCAAATTGGTCTTGGATATCCAACAATAAGGTAGTTTATTAGGAATTTTTTCATTCTTAAAAAGCGGACCTAGAATAATCTATACTAGCACGTATTTCAACTTCGTAGTCAAGATCGTTTTCTATTCAGCAACCAGGAACTGGAGTATTTAGTACTCAGTACTGCCTTATCAATAAGTATTGATTGTCTAGGTTTAGGTAACTTGTGAAGTAGTATACGTACCACTATTTGGTCCATAAGTATAGTTTGACCATAATAACATTTTTAGTTATCATTTTCAAGCATATTATCAGTAAGTTATCTTTAATAAGGGAGTCGGTTGGTTCGTAGACACCCCATATTCTTCTTCTTCTTCACTGTCAGCCTGTGTTCGTCCACTGCTGGACATAGGCCTCTTCCATTTGCTTCCATCGATTTCTACTTTTAGCAATTCTCATCCATTGCTTGCCCGCGACTTGTTTGATATCGTCTGTCCACCTCTTCTGCGGTCTGCCTACTCCTCGCCTGTTCTCTCTTGGTCTCCAGTTTGTTAATCTTTGTGTCCATTTTTCGGGATTATCTCGGGCAACGTGTCCGACCCATTGCCACTTGAGCCTTGCAATACGTTCTGAGACATCAGTAATTTTTGTTCTTTCACGAATGACGTTATTTCGAATCCTGTCTCTCAAACTAATCCCTAGCATGGCCCTCTCCATTGCTCTTTGGGTTGTACTGAGCTGCTCTAAGGTTTTCTTTGTTAAGGCCATGGTCTCCAGTCCATATGTAGTTACAGGCAAGATACATTTGTCATAAACTTTACGTTTTAGACACATTGGTATATCTTTATTCTTCAAAATAAAGCTTAATTTGCCGAAAGCTCCCCAAGACAGTTGTATGCGTCTTTTTATTTCGGCTATTTGATTTTCTTTGCCGATTTTAATGGTATGTCCAAGATACATAGTGGTCTACATTTCAAGACTGACGTTGTCAATAACAAGATTAGTTTGTAAATTACTCATTATTTTTGTTTTCTGAAGGTTCATTTTGAGACCTATTTTATTTGACTGCTGGTTTAATTCCTTCAACATTTGCTCCAGTTCCTTGATATCTGTACTAAATAATACTATGTCATCCGCAAACCTCAAATGACTCAAACGTACACCATCATTGTTTAGACCTTTTTCCTCCCAGTCAAGCTGTTTGAATACATTTTCCAATGCTAAGGTAAAAAGCTTTGGTGAAATAGTATCACCTTGTCTAATACCTTTATTAAGGCGCATTTTTTCAGTATTTTTCGTGTTCATTGATTTTGATGTGGAATGTGGCCTGTTCATAAATGTTTTTAATGAGTGTAGTGTACCGTGAGTCTATTCGAGCATCCTTCAGGGCTGACAAAAAGGACCAAGTCTCAATACTATCGAAAGCCTTGTGAAAGTCGATAAATGCCATATTGTAAAGGTACATTATATTCTGTGGTTTTTTCTACTAGTGTTCTGATGGTTTGTAAGTGATCATTAGCACCAAACCCTTTTCTAAATCCCGCATGTTCAACCGGTTGATATAAACCAAGTTTTTGTGTTATGCGGTTGGTTATTATCCTTGTTAACAATTTGTATAAGTGTGACAACAAACTTATAGGTCTGTAGTTTTCAATATTAGTAGTGTCTCCTTTCTTGTGTAAAAGTATTATTTCGGCGTTTTCCCATAGGCTGGGTATTCTTTTTTCTGTTAGACACTTATTCAGTAAGACTTCCACAACTTCTACAACGATGTTGCCGCCCATTTTTAACATTTCAGACGTTATACGATCCTCGCCAGGAGCTTTTTTGTTTTTCATTTGCTGTAAGGCATGTCTAATTTCCGAAGAGGTTATTTTATTTTTATCACAGATTATTTTTTGCAGTTGATGTTATGTCATTCGTTAATTTTTGTGTTATTTCATTTATATCTTTCGTGTTGAATACTGGTAGAGATCCTAATTTCTTTTTTAGTTCACTTTGATATTCCTCTTGAATTCATTTCGAGTGCTTCTATGTTTGGCAATTTATCCTGTGTTAATAATTTTCTTCTATCTAATTTCGTATTTATTTCTATTCGCGTCCTAACTAATCGATGATCACTACCAGTGTTGAAAGAATTTAGTACGTTGAAAGAATTTAGTACAGTAAGATCTTTAGCAATGTTTTCGAAGTTAGAGAATATAAAGTCAATTTCATGTTTTACTTTGCCATCTGGGCTTAACCACGTCCATTTTCTCTGCATCTTTTTCTTGTAGAAGGTATTTAAGCAGAATAGTTTTTCTTTGCTGAGGAAATTTACGAGCATATCTCCCCTGTGATTTCTACTTCCCAGTCCAAAATTTCCAATATATTCGTTGTCGTTGTTATTTTCGTTCTTTCCTATTTTGGCGTTGAAATCTCCCGTAATTATTACGTAATATGTTTTCTCTAGGTTTCTGGCTCTTGTAATGTCGTCATAAAGTTGTTCTACCTCTTCATCATCTGCAGAAGAAGTTGGTGCACAACAGTGGATTATTTGAATGCTGTATCTACGATTTAGTTTTATTACCATATAGATAACTCTATTAGAAATCGCTTGGAATTTGGTTACCATGTTTTCAATTCTCTTATGTACTAAAAAGCCTACGCCTCCTATACCTTGGTTATTTCCTGAATTGTATTGGTACAAAGTGTGCCCTGATTTTAGTAGAGTCGATTCTTCACCTTTAAGCCTTGTCTCGCATAGGCCTACTATGTCCCATTTGATGATCTTAAGTTCTTCTTGCAACTCTTCTAGGTTATTTTCTGTCCTCATCGTTCTGATATTATATGTTCCGATGTGCATTCTGTGTGTACTAAGCGAATTCTTGCCTTCCCCATATTCCACGAGGCAGACCCTTTTCTGGGTGTGGGATTTGGCATAACATACTCCACTCACTTGGGGACCGTTCCGTTTCGTTTTAGTATTCGCCATTTCTGTATTTGAATTCACCCCATATTATTGGTATGTTTTTAAGGATATAAACTAAGTTATGCTGTTCTCTACATTCAGGTCTAACAATATCTGGCAGCTTCTGGAAATACGTGGGACTAAATATCTATATCGGCATTTCTACTTTTTGAATGTGAGGATCTTTTCTGATCAAAATAATAGTTTGACATAGTGCACATACTCAGGTTTACCTGTCCAGATCCACATATTATACGGCATGATCCGCCTATGGTTTTTTTCTTGTTCCTTCAGTTTATGCCGTTAATAATATTAGTTTTTAGTAGTTATAATGTTAGTATTATTAATATAATTTAAAAACTATATATATAATATATATATATATATATCTATATATATATATATATATATATATCTTATTTTTAACTCTTATTTTTATTCAGGAAGCAGGAACAGATTTAAATGCCTATTTTGTATCTGCGTTGATTGGTGTAGTTCGATTTATTATGGCCAGTTCTAATGTCGTTTTGCTAAAATATTTAAGCAGAAGAACAGCTTTAATATCTAGCTGTGCCGGAATGGCTCTTTTTATGTATATTTCTGGACAATACACTTTGTGGATTCAAGAAGGTTAGTATAATTATATAAATATATTTTAATACTCTCTAATATCGATTTTAGAGCGTCGATTTTCACTTCATCGACCTTTCGACATCCTGTCTGATGTCTTCTTCAGGGCTTCTGGATCTTAGTCTACTGACTCCTCAGGTTTTTTCATACATTATTTACTACTTACTGCACTACTGTAGAATAAAGTGAAAACATGTTATTCCATACTCTCAGTCCAATGTTTCTGCATTTTTTAACCTATTTCACTAAAGATCTGTCTTAATATATCTTGAAGAGAGCAAGAGAAAGATAGTACTCTAACTCAATCCTGTGGTTGTATTTAATGCGAAGCTCTATCTAATAATAAAGATAACATTAAATAATAACACACATTTATATTTTAGATGTTACAACAGCCAAATGGGTCCCTGTAGTATCACTGTTAATGTATGTTGTTTGTTCAGTTAACGGACTGATGTATTTACCTTTTATGGTTATATCAGAGCTGTTTCCAGTGAAAATAAGAGGAGTTGGATACACTATAGGTAAGTAAATTCGTTTACAAGTAACATTTGTTTTTTTTTATCATAAATTTTTGTGTTAGTTAGAACATCTAAAGATGTTGCATTGAACAAAAAAATAAATTTTATGATTAAAATATTCAATATTTCAAAATATATTTTGATTTTATTTTTAAATCACAGAGAATTCGAGTATATTTTACATCTACACCTTACAAAACGCAAACGATAATTATATGGTTAAATATATTTAAATCTATGTAATGTAAACATAGCAAGAAAGTAAAGAATTAAAATAAAGGTTAGTAGCATATGGAGAATAATATTCATTCAATTAATTATTATATATTCCATATTAAATACAGTAACGTATACATTTTTAATTATACAAATAATAACAATTGACCTAGTTTGACACAAGCCCGAATGTTTAAGAATTAGGAAATCTGAATACCTTCGTGAAAATTAATACAACGAAGCGACACACCATCGCATGTTACATTCCAACACGTGGAACAGTACAGCAGAATCAGCAAAATAAACTAGGAATGTTCTCAGGACATAAAAACTAAAAAAATTGGTCAACCAGGCAGTCAGTAATAGCTGGGCACCGTGGGCACCGCTCGCTCAGGCAGTGATCGCTGGCTCCGGGTCGGACGCGATAGCGTCCAGTACGCGATCAGTAATGGCGAGGGAAATCGGTGTCTTCGGGCAGAGTTGTTAATACGAGGGACAGCACCGGTTTTTCGGATTACGCGCGAATGTTATATTTCGATGGGTATAGTACCGCGTAAGTGTCGAGTACCGGAGTTCGAAGTTCGTGACAAAACGAAATAGTCTCCTCAACTGAATCCGAATTTCCAGAGAAACTGAAGGCCGTGTCACTAGCTAGAGCCTAACTACACGAAAGGTAACAAATTTCTGTATACTAACCTGAGTAATTATATAGTACAGATTGTCACCCCTTTACTTTCTTGCTAAGCTCTCTTCTCGTCTCCCTTCGCGCCGAACGACTTATTATTGATTATATTTGACAGCTTGTTAACTTAATTGTAATCCACTTAGTATATTCAATACATTGTAGACTCTAAGGTTGGTTTTAATGTTCCTTCCGACCGATTCAGACAGAGACCAGGAGAGTACAAGATTTCTGCTTATGCATATCTCCGGCTTCTAAAGTAAGCCCATAAACTCGACTCCTTTACAGGACCTGAGACCTAGAAGTCCTGAACCCTTATTCGGAACCCTCCCTACCTTCTCGTAAATCCACGAAGGAGAACCAGTCAGTTCGGACCAGTGGACCAGTAAGATTTGCAGCCGCTCGCAGGGATAGCATCCTTTAAGGTTCATATCGAGTACATCACATCTAGCCACCAGTTTAAAAACGGAACAGTGGCCGAGTGCATGTTAATTTGCCAAAAACGTTAAATTTTAGGTAGCTATGGAATTAAGAATATATTTCATTGGCAAAATGGCTTGAAAAAGTAGATAGTACTTAGTGAGTATTAATAAAAAGGAAATTTAAAAATAGCGTAATAATAATATTAAAAACAAAAATTTAACGTGATAGGGGTTTAAATATTCAAGCTCTTTCTGCAGAGCAAAAACCAAATATCTTGTATAGAGATACTCTCATATCCCTGAGCAGTTCCGGTCTAATGCTCCCACAAAGATGAATTCTTTTTACTCTCAATTTCGAACTCTTTTAAGATCATGTCGATAAACACCTGCTTTTATATACCTCAAAGAAAAAAATCACTTGGGGATAAGTCTGGTGATCTCGGAGGCCACTTGATCGTACCACGAAAAGAAATTGCTTTATTTCCAAAAATGGTTTCTAAATAATTTTAAACTGCTTGTGTATTGTGAGCAGGACAGACGTCTTGCTGAAACCAAATATCGTCAAAGTTGACAGGAAGTAATTGAACTGCCAATTATTTGATTTTGCGAAAATTCTAAATATTTATTACCCGATAAATTTCCATCAATAAAAAATGCATCCACGATATAGTCCCCCAAAATTCCTGTCCAAACATGAAGTTTTTGGGGGTTTTGAGTTCGTACTGGAATACTTAAGTGCTTATTATACGACATACGATGGAAGGATTACGTTTCCGATGTAACGAAAATGTCGATTCATCAAAACAAAACTTTTTTTAATAATCAGTTACAAAAGTAACAGTTTCATTTTAAAATATTCCTGAGAGTCCTATCATTCATATCAACTTCAGCAAACGTTTTTGTTTGAACAAGGATCACTAGTTTCAGCAACACTACAAACATCAATTTCCCTATTTTGCCGAACTTCGTGGATTATTCTCTCTCGTGGTAGATCCGTACATTTTCAACGATTTTGTGTATGACCAAACGATTCAAATTTATTTAATATTACGACTAATACTTGATTGTATCGGTATTGGCCTATATTCATATGGACAAGTATATAAATTTGGGTATTTGATTTGAGCGGCCAGTGATATTCCTTGGGACTGTTGCCAATTCGGTAAATACCTACGGCAAAAGATTTTAGATTTTAAACAATAGTTGAATAATAAATCTATTGAGGTATAAATTAACCAATTCAAATAATACCTAATGAATACAAAAAAATTGTGTTATTGAAACAGTATTATTTGCACAAAAATACAGAATTACGAATATTCCATACGGAGTTTCAGAAAAAATCGGTAGACGGAATAACATTGGTTAATTGCAAATGAGGAAATCTCAGTAATTGTATTAAAAACTCTATGTTTTATTAAAAAATTTCCAAATGTGTACATTGATATATATTGAATTTTTTTCTCTCTATTTTTGATAATAGGTCCTCTTCTATTTGCCCTAGGTAATGTCGTTGAATCTCACGTGAGATTTTTTGTTATTTATTGATTTTCCATGGTTGTTCTAGAGAAAGAAGCTATTAAACAGATGACACAACCAGAAATATGAATCAGAATGGTGAATGACCTAACTGCAATCTATAAAACCTCAACTTCTCAAATTCCTCAATTGACATACTCAAAAGCATATCTAAACTCAATTAAAAAAAAATCAATTCTTACAGGAACTTCTGCCGGAAATCCGACTCCCTTTACTAGAGATATTCTTTGCGTGAATCCTTATGCCTTTCAGCGACGGATCTAATTTCAATGTTGGTTACTTATCTATTTTTTCCAGTTTTTCCTCATTTCTTCTATCGCCTTTCCTCTTTTTGTGCAATTTCGTTTATTTTGTTTATACACCTTTTTCTTATTATATCTTTTTTCTTTTCTTTGTAATTTTGCTTTGAGATTTCTAGTTTTTTATAGAGGTATATATTCCTCTATCTTTCTAAAATGTGCCTCAAATTTTTAAATTGCATCTTTCGCTAAGTTTCTGATATGGGTCTTACCACTATTAGATCCCTTCACAGATATGCCTCTGCTTTTGAAACCGAGTATGATTTGGTTTTCATAATCTAATATAGCCATAAATATATTTTTTTGAGTATCCTTGCAAGTGTGTAGTTATTACAACTTTCTACTGGTTGAAAAATATTTGTTTTGGAATATTTTATTTAAACTGAAGTTTAACATTTTTAAATTTTATTATTTACATATTTTTTTTAATCATGGTTTATTTTATGTTCAAATATTTTATTTTAATACTAATAGATACATTTTAAGGTTACAGTATGTCTATGGTATTCATGTTTGCTGCCCTGCAAGGTTATTACTGGCTATACGACGTTTTAGGTGGCATAGCACACTTACAGTGGTTCTTCTCAGTAGTATGCGCAGCAGGTCTAGTGTACTCCTATATATTTATGCCAGAGACAAAAGGAAAGAAGCTCTCAGAAATATCCAACAATTTCAAAAAAGGGTGGCTGTACATAGGAAAAAATCACGATGACGATAATATATCAAGGAGAAGTACTGTATGAGAATTTTTACAGAATAAAGCCAATTTAAAATATTATATATTTTAAGTAAAGTAAATTTATTTTTGTACATATCTTACATCCTGTCTAATAATAATATGAGGAAAATAGGGGCTTTAGACATAAAAATTAACAACATTGGTTAGCTCTTTCCTCATTTTTATTATGTAATATATATTTATATAATGTACCTATTTTATTTTAGTTATTCCTACAACTTTATTTGTGTTCGCTATCCTTTCTTGTATTGTATCTTTACTACGGATAAACAAAAGGAAGTAAGTTAGAAACAAATCAAACAATCATTGGTATCAAACAATTTTTATTTAAGTAAAGTTTCAGCATTCATAAAATCACATTAAAAGTTTTGTATCATTGTTGCAAAATAAAAAATGGTAGCGTGGTAATATCTGCGGTATATTGTAGCGTTACTGGTCCTTGGTAATCAGTTCCATCGTTACCATCTTTCCACTTTCCTTTTGGTAAATATACATCTCTTTCTGTTGCCCCTTTTGTTAGTACAGGCGCTACTAAAATTTTTTCACCGACTAAAAATTCTAAAAAACATTTTGTATATAAATAAATAAAATTTTACTAATACTTATACTACTAATAATATAATTACTAATAGATTTACTAGTCCTAAGAATTAAGTCAAAAAATAAAAGTTGAATAAAAGTAAAACAAAACAGACAAAAACAGTTAATAAACTAACGATAAAGTAGCGTTAAGAAAATATAGACTATTTAAACAGGGTGGATAAATATAAAAATGGTCTATGAAAAATCACGATAGCAAAAGGCTTCTTATTGATGGCGAATTAAGTAAACTGAAAAAGTTTCTGTTAAATAAATTCCTACCAATCCTTTATAAGTATTTCATGGTTTTCCAAGCATCAGGAAGACTTTGTGAGACTCAAAGTAAAAAGAGTTTAACCGTCTACTTAGCAATCATAAAATACTGTATTATTGCAAGATTGTAGCAAATCTATTCCACTTGACAAAAAGTCAAACAAATTCTCATTGATTGAGCTGTAAACCATTTTATTCTCTCTTACTGATGCCAACCGCCATCTGCAGAAGGAGTTGAATCCACAATAAGAGAAACTATAATGAATTTCATAAATAGAATAGATGAAATTGGAAGATCTTGAGCCTCAAATTACTCCTAAAGTGGAAGACAAGTATTGACTGTTTGTCTTCTGTCGTGTATAGGTAAATTATACGAGGGCGACACAGTCGTTAAAAATTCAGGCGGGCTATCACTCAGGCAGTATGATTTTAAAAACTACAGAAGCACGGTGAATGCGGTGATTTTGGTCTCGGACTATCTGCCAGAGGAAAAATTGTGGTAGAAAAAGGAGTGTGTGACAGCTGGAGTGCCTCATTGGTCGATTCTAGGACCCACGCTTTGGAACATGACATATAATGGAGTTGTGATTCAAATGAACAATTGTCAAAGTGAAAATTCATGGCCTAGAACTGGCTGATGCTAAGACCGAAAGTAAAGTTCTCAAGGCATCAACGAAAAGGAACGGGATAACATTTGAATGTGCAAGAAATAGAATGGTTTCTAACAAATGCGTTAAATATTTGGGTATGGCTCTAATTCCAAATGGAAAATAGGGGGAGTATATATAGGCGGTAACTCGAGAGCTGCGGGAAGATCCGCCACGTTGAGAATTATGCCCAACATCGGAGGGCCCAAAACTGAGAGGAACTCTATGTGACGCGTATCTGTGGAACTGCAATTTTAACACATGAGTACAAAAGGCAGCCCACCCAGACAGATAGGAATAATTTATTAAAGGTGGCATGTGCATATAACCTCTGCTGAGGCACTGGGAGTTACCACCGGGTGTATTTCAATACACGTGCTAGTGATAGAAAGAGGAAGAGTGTACGAGAGCAGAAATGAAGACAGAGCAACAGAACGTTTAAGAAAAAGGTAGGGGTCCATTATGTTGTGGCAGGAGGAATGGGACGAGATGAGAAGTGGACGAAGTCGATGATTGCTAATCTGAGAAGATCGATGGATTGCGGCCATCGGTGTTTGAGTAACCTCCTAACGCACTTGCTCACAGGATATGGTTCTTTCAGGGCATACCATTGCAGATTTGGAGAGGCATATAATGAAAAATGCTTGTATTATGAAATATCGGACATTGTCTAACACACGGAGCTGATAAAGGAGATGCTTAGGTCGTCAGATCCATGAAGAGCAGTTCAAAGATATGTGAAGAGGACGGTTGAAGAGAAATTACTAAGAATAAAGGAGACCCGAAGGTAAGCAGGGTGCCGGAAGCAAGTACGAAGGTAAGACAAAATGAGAAGGGGCGAACTTGAACATGAACTTCTTTAAGTTCCATCTTCTATCGAAGGTTGGAATCATCATGGCTATGCGGACTCTGTTGACTGCCGCTCTAAAAGTTCTGCACTACTGCATTCAAACCATTCCCTTAAGTTCTTAAGCCAGGATATTCTTCGTCTTCCCACATTTCGCTTTCCTCGGATTTTGCCCTGCATAATAAGTTGTAATAATGTATATTTTTGCCCTCTCATCACATGTCCCAAGTACTCAAGTTTTCGTCTTTTAATAGTTAATATTATTTCCGCCTCATTTCCTATCCTTCTAGTTACTTCCATGTTTGACATTCTTTGAATCCATGATATTCGTAGGATTCTTCTGTAATACCAAAATTCAAAGGCGGCCAGCTTATTCAGATGAACTTGTTTGAGTGAACATGAACAGAGAGGTACAAAGGGAAAGAAGGATTTAAGTCGTAGTAACAAAGTGCAAGAATGCGTGAGAATTGTGTGCATAAATGAGAGATCGGGTAAATGCCGTGCCGACATTGCGTCGCAATAAGGGCGGTTCGGCCGCTAGGAGAGTATTTTTTTAGCAACTGCAAGGTTGAAAAACGGTTCTGCTCAAAAGGACCATCCTACAAAAAGACTATCCTATTACTGCTGAACTATAACTACTGAAAATTTTATTTTTTTTTTCAACCCTTAAAATTTGTTTAAATTTTTTGTTTCAACTTAAAGAAAAATTTTGGGCTAATAGTTTTATACATTTCAAATATAATTTTAATAAAAAAATTACAAACATTAAAAAAATTTGCTACCTTTGTTTGGATTTGCCATTTAATTCGATCCTTTTTTGTCGTTTACTGGATTATTTTTCTTGAGTAATGATCATTATAAACTACATTTATGAATAAATCTCCAAAATATAAATTTTTGAATCGTCATTATAAGTTTTATTTCACTGTTCTATAAATAGAACACTTGTACTTAGCGTTTTCAAAGTGTGCAGCATGTCAGTATTCGATTGAATGTGAATATGTGCACAAGTCGTTGTGGTTTTTAAAATTTTATATTTGAATATTGCGATAGGTACAAAAAGTTTCTTCTTTTATCATATTTAGGAGAAATTATTCTACACTAACTAATATTTAATATTATTTTGGATAACATAAAAATAAAGTAAATGAAATTTTTGTTAGATACTATGCATCTAACTAAGTGAAGCAATTTATAAGTGCGAAGTTTGTTCTATTCGGCTACAAATTTTATGGTATTTGTAGAAGTATCGGATACTGTTACAATTTTAATTTTTATATTGGCAAAACACTAAAAAGATCGCGAATATTTGACCTTATGATCAGGAGTGTAACAATATATAATTTGCTTATAGGGGGTTGAAAGAGGGGACTGAACAATTACTGCGCTTGAGGATAGGGTAAGCCAATAACATTGGTAAAACGTTTGTGAATGGCTACTCGTGTTTAAGTTGGAGAGATGAGGCATGAATAAGGATTTCTTTAATTGGAGAGGATTGGCGCAGGACTAACTACAAAAAAAGAAATTAAAAAAGTACTCACAGAGATATCCTGGGCAACACTACACAAGAAGATTCCTAAACTATTTAAAATAGAAGCCATTAAAAAAAATCTTCTTGGTACTTAAAAAGTATGAAAGGTTTTTCTCTTATTAGATGTGAATAAGAAAAACACTGTCCCACATAAACTTCAAACGACTAGATCCGACATTATGGGAGACACAAAATGGAAGATGGACAAAATTTTTGAGAAGTCAAATATTTAATTGGGCTTCAGGTTATCCTGAATAATAACAATATGTATTCTTCAAAACGTGGCTGCTGATTTTTTACATAAAATGGTTTACTTAGCCTTCAGGACGCTATAATCAAATTCCTTGACAAACAAAACAGCTTTCAATAAACCGGTGAGTAAATAACTCATTATACATAGATTTCTATATGGCATTTTGAGCAAATTTGTTCTCCTCGCTTCTACCGCCACACCCGAACTTGACTCCCATTATTCATCAAACTCGTCTCTTCCCGTACTAGTTTCTAACTCCCAGCCAATCGGATATCTTTTAACTACGCTTTTGATTTTATTATGGATTTTAAAGTGCTGGGCCTTTAAACTTTTATAAGAATTTATTTAAACTAAAACTCAAATAGACACTATGCAGCTAATAATTTTTTTAGATGACTTACCCCTGATACTGAGGTAAACAAACTTTAGATTACTGTTATGTATCAGTTAGGGGCGTATTAAATAAATTCTTATACATATTTATATATTTAAATATTCGATACTTAAGGAAAAAAATCATGCTACAAGAATAGTATATGGTATGATAGACTGCATTTATGAACTTGCAAGCACCTGCCAACTAATTAAAGAGAATCTGCCCATAAATAAAGTCACCTCAAATTATCCTTTAGAATGAAATAGTTAAATTTCTAGTTATACATCTAGATCTGACAGAAAATAAACAAGACTTTCAAACAAGATGTCATACGCGGAATAACGAATATGTAATACCCTATATAGCCGCCAATCCGCATGGTCAATGTATTCTTTTTTTTACATAAAAGTTGTAAATAATTTTAATTACTTTAATTTTTTTATACATACCATCATCACATTTCAAAGCTTTTTGGTCTGTTGGATCTATCCACCAAATTGGCGGATTGACCGGGGAGCCATAGTGTACGCTTTTCTTCATCGCATCAATTATTACATGTGAATACTCTTTGTGGAGTTTTACACAATTCTTGACGATAGCTGGCACATCAAACTAAAACATCAATACAAGTTCGTTAAAGAATAACAAAAGTCATGAGTATAAAAGAAGTTGCTTTGTACTCAAAGTATATTTGAAAAGTAAGTCATATCAAAATTAATTTTTTAATATTTCAAAGCTTTTGCTGCGAATTGTTTTATGTAGACAATAAATATTTTCTCTTAAACAAGCCATTGACTTATTCTAATTTCTTAAATACTTCAGTTTTTCTTGGATTCTGGTATTACAAATTTCCAGTATAATCAGGTTCACACTTTTTCATTATTTGGTAAATAATGTGTCTAAATTTAATTTAATTTTCCAGTCTTTTAATAGTAAAGTTTTTGGTGGTTCCGGTATTTACAATTTCTATTAGTGTAATCAGCAGCTAAATCCCAAACCACACAGTTAGACAGAATTATTCAATTTTTACAAAAAGTACAAGAAGTGATCGACAATGACCAGTGGGTTGTAAGAAAAAAAAGAAAAGATAAAAATTTGCCTCACCTGCCTGATACCTTACCTGTCTCGCTCGTGTGTAATTACCTGTCTTGAAGAAGTGGTTCACCTATGACTAGATGATTGCTAGGAGTGCAAGAAGTTATCATCAATGACCAGAGGTTTGTGAGAACTCGTCGCTTTGCTCTAAATGTCTTCTTTTTATCCACTAATAGATCACCCTGTATGTCAAGTATAAAACTTATTACTTATCTTATTAGATCTCCTCTTCGTTTTATTTAATTTGTATAGGGTGACCGAAATAAATTTCGTATTAAGACTGTTTGTATTGAAATATTTTTATAGGCAAACAAAAAACAATAGTAAATTTTGTACGGATTAGCATAGCCTTATAAAATCTGTCTAGCCTAGCCAGATTATTGCCAGTTTTTCTCCATTATTTAGCGATTTAAAACCACCACTGAACATTCTTGATAAGCTATGCTGTTTGCAGATCTACTACGCTACAGGACTTACAACGTAAAATGATATGAAACGAACCCAGCCTAAGCTCTAGACTATTAAGTACTATTAGTTTTAGAGCATCTAGAGGAAATTGTTTTAAATAAAATAGATTTTGATATACCTTTTTTCTATCGCTATATAGATGACTGGTTGAGTGCAGCAGCAGAGGATAAAATGGATAATTTACTAAATGAATTCAATAACTTTCACCAAAAACTAAAATTCACATTAGAAATTGAGAAAAATTATCAAATTAATTTTCTGGACCTGGCTTTATATAGAGAAAACAGCACTATAACTACTTCATGGTACACCAAAAAAAAACCTGGTCGTCGAGATATCTGAATTTCAACTCTCATCATCCCCTGTCTCATAAGAAATCAGTAGTTATCGAACTCGCTGATAGAGCTATTAGATTATCCGATCCTATCAATAGACCTCAGGCCATTAAAAAAGCAAAAACACTTAATTCATACCCACACCACCTTATCGACAACACTTTCAAATCGCGACTGCATAAATTTTACAATAACAATAATAACAATGAAATCAACACGGTTAAGAAAAATTAAATGTCTCTCCCCTATATAAAAGGATTATCAGAACAAATTGCAAATCTTCTGTCTAAACATAATATTACGGTTGCTCATAAAGGGCACAATCTTTTGAAAAGGAATTTTACAAGATTGAAAACAAAAACCCCTCTATTAAAAGATCGCATGTTGTATATGAAATTCCCTGCTCGAATTGTGATGGAGTTTATATTGGACAAACCAGTCAGCTACTTAACTCAAGAATCCGTTCCCACAAATATGACAAAAAAAACTCAACCGCCCTCACAAAACATGAAAACGAAAAAAAACATCAATTTGATTTTGAGAAAACCAAGATCCTAAAAAGTGAACCCAACAGGAAGAAGAGAGAGTTTCTAGAGTCTACAAATAAAAAAAAAATAATACCGCAATAAATGATAAAAAAGATGTCCGCCATTGCTTCATCAATATCGTTGCGCCAACTTTTCCATGGTCATCCTCTCTTTCTTCTTTTAGGAGGGATCCATTCTAGTACTTTTCTAGGTCATCTGCACTCTGGCATTCTTTTAACATGTCCAAACCAGATTAATTGTTTTCTTTCTATGTCATCATTAATATTTCAGATATCACCCTGTACAAATTTACTTAAAAGAAAAGAAGATCCCTTTTTGAGGGAAATAAGAAGAGATTTAGAGATAAGCGATGAGTTCTTTCAACCCTCTGGTTATTAACGATAACTTCTTGCACTTCTTTAGCTACCCTTTGGTAATCGTCGATCACTTCTTCAGGATAGGTAATTACACATGTGTGATGAGACAGGTAGGGTGTCAGGCAGATGAGGCAAGTGAAAATTCTTTCGCAGAGAAGAAGAATATATTGACGATAGCTTCTGCGAAAAAGAAGAAGAGATTGATAAGCAACCACTTTTTACAACCCTCTGGTCATTGTCAATTACTTCTTGTATTTCTTGTACACCCCAAGGTCAAACTAGGCTTTGCCAAACTATCTTTTACATTTTACATTTTAAAATCTTACTTTTGACACTTTAACTAGCTAACCCATTTTTTTTTGTAATTTATCATAGGCTTTTTTAACCTGCACCGCAATGGATCCTCCTCATTAAAATCTTTATAAAATTCCCCAATTAATTCGTTTTTATATTTGGCTAAACGGTTCTTTATTAAGTTTTTTTGTAGTCTTGTCGTATATTGAGTTCAGCCATATCTCTATAGCAGTTGAAGTTTTTAATATCTGCTTTATCGCAATTGGAATTTTTATTGCCTCCGACTACTTTTGTCTCTCGTTGCTTTTGATTTAAAAGTACAATTTTTCATATCCTGTAAATAAAATGGCTACCAATCTGGAATTAGGTAACTTTTTCTGCCATTTCGGTTAATTCTTCATTAGAGAAATGAAATCAAAAATCAAAAAAATATTTTTAATATATAAATTTATTATAAATTTATTTATATTGAATATAAATATTCAATTTATCTGATGTTAGGTAAATAAAAGCTTCTTACCTTTGTTTCGTTAAAGTCCCACGGAAGGAAGCTAAATTGCATAGTTGGCATAAAAGTGTTGGCTTGGGTCCATCTTACAAAAAGTTCTGCGTCTGGTTGCACGCCATATCCATTACCACCGATCATATCCGGGAGCAACCTTTGAAACGGTAAATTCAAATAATTAAGTAATAGCATTAAGGAAAGATACAAGCACCTGTGAAGCAAGGCTTGGTCTCATACTGATAACAGACATTCAGTTTAACTCTTGTTTTAATGGCAGTCATAGACGAGAAACTTAACTCAAACAAATATGATGTTACAAATGGAACCAAACATTTTACAGCTTCACTCGCCAACTGGGGGTATTCCTGCATCTTTTCGGTCCAAAATTGGTCCGAGTTCTGGGAAAAAAATTGGAGCTTCAACATTCCATCTCTTGATATTTCAATAAGTTTTTCTTTCATGTTTATTGGTATTTCAACATGCTGAAAGGAATCGGCTAAAAACGGATTTAGTATCCTTCTGCAACTGTCGTAACTGTTTTGAATTTCTTCGGGGAAATAATCACAGAGATGTTGTTTTAAATTGAGCAAAGTAATATGCATGTCAGCAAAAAATTGTTCAAAATTTGTAGCACTGTAATTGGATACATTTTCCATAATTTCCTGAAGGCACTGGAATGAATCGAGTTGATTTTTGCTAAGTGAGGTCGACCATAAATCGATTTTTCTTAGAAACGCCTTAATTTTATCTGTGGATGTAATTATTTTAATGTCGCGACCTTGTAAATTACTGTTCAAAATATTTAATTGCTTAATAATATCAGCAAGGAAACCTAGTTCTAGAAGCCAAATGTCTTCGCAAATTTTTTAAAAATACGGCTCTGCAAAGCTTTTCCTTTAATGGAATTTACAACTTTAATGATGGTTTTCATAACACAGTCCATTTCAGGAGGTAAAGCTTTAGACGCAAGAGCTTCTCGATGTAAAAAACAATGTCTCCATTTGGCATTAGGGATTATTTCTTGTAATTTGACGACAAGATCAGATTTATGTCCTGTCATAGCTTTAGCGCCATCTGTGCATATAGCAATACATTTACCCCAAACAATATCAGATTTACTTGTACGTTTCACAAAAGTGTCGAGTAAACATTTTCCAGTGGTATTGGTCTCCAATGGGGAACAAAATAAAATATCTTCTTGAATTCTATTATTTGTATCATATCTTACAGACGTAATTACCGCATTAAAAAATATAGGGTAAACCTGTTGAGACAAATATCAAAGATATATTCCAACGTTGTTTGTAAAAAAATGTACTTGTGTTTTCACTATCCTGAGTAAAAAAAAATTTTTATGCATCAGATTTTAGAAAATTTGAAAACCGTTCTATACTCACAAAAATTCAATAATAATGTAGTTGTTTAACATCACAAAATGATTTATATCTTTGAAATGGCTTCGTAGCAATCTAATGAAAATGTTAAATAATCAGACAATTTGCCAACTAATTTTCAATTTATTATAGCCTCTGAACTAAATCAAAAAGCAACGGGCGTTGATATACGTTTGCCCTCTATACCTACTTACATTGTATAACCCACCATATTCATTTGTATAAGTGTCGTCACCAAACTTTTTAATCCATTGTGATAACTCCAATTAGATGTTTTATCCAACATGCGCGTGAATATAGGTAGGTCTTGAGTTCTGTAAAAAAAATAAATTAAGATTAAAATCTTAAGATTAAATACTTTGATATAAGTAACATGACTTCAGCACGCTGAAGACTAAGAAATTTGGAAGCTAAAGATTAATAAATCAGATTTGGAATCAGACTAAGGAATTTGAAACGTGAAAGACTATGTCTTATTTAACAACTACAGTATTAGTATTAGTCTACAGGTCAATGTCAATTAGCTTTCTAATCAATTTGTCATGCCAAACTTGATCGAAAGACTTTTGATCATCAAAGAATGCGACTATACCGATGCTGTTATCGTTTATGAATGTTTTATATTGACTTATATTTAGTGCAAATTTATATTTTACCATTTGTGTAGTTGTGATATTCTAATAAAATAATCATGGCAGGTTATTACTTGAAACGTAGTTATTTCTAAAAGACTCATTACCAGTTATCTGATGTAACATAAAGCAGCATTACAATTAATTAGCATTATCAAGCAATTATTAGATGTCAACTCTTTTAAATGTCAAACAATGATTCTTTTTGATAAATGTGTTAGTAGTTCGTGGGTAATAATTTCTTTTTTATTTTCACTTTAAAATTATTATATGCTTGTAGAGGTTTGGGCATTATTTTATTAACTTAACATGAATTACTTATTTAAGGCTGAGACGTTTTAAGTTAGAAGTTAAAAAAAAAACAATAATTAATGAGAGAGATTATTACCTCCAGCCAGACCTCACTTCTATCAAATTTCCAAACGTGGCACAAATTCGTAGATACTTTCCAGAAAAGATGTTTGGAATTAGTTCCTGATCCACAGTTTTATACACAGCAGGCTAAAATGTTTTATAACTATTAAAACAATAATTAATAATTAGTACCACAACCACTACAATGTTGGGGACCTATTCGAATGTTGTCCCTGTATAAATCGTACAACTGAACTTATATAAGTCGCTCAACCTACATTTTGAATCTAACAATAAAAAAAATTGGGCTGTAACCTACTTTGAAAGCAGTGAAAGCTTAGTGATCAGTGAACAGTGTAGTAGTGTCTGGGGGCTCGGTAGACTGAGACCTCGGAAGCCTTGAGGAAGTCATCAGGGAGGATGCCGAAATCTCGGCAAAATGGATATCGACGTGGTTTAACCCGGAAGACTGGTGAGTTTGATATTAATTTTAGTAATAATATTAATCTTAGCTCTAGGTTTAATTGTACTAACCGCGGAAATCTTTCCGAACAAATATATATATATATATATATATATATATATATATATAAATATATATTATATATATATATATATATATATATATATATATATATTATATAAATATATATATATATATATATATATATATATATATATATATATATATATATATTATATATATATATATATATATATATATATTTGGCATCCTTTGGATATGCCTCAGTCATCTCAGTCTTTGTGTTTTTATGATTTCTACTAGGAGCATTTGTATATGGTGACGACAATGTCTAGATGTAATGAAATTTAGGCTCAAAAGATTTCTGAAAGTTAAAAGAGTAAAAGTGACAAGAAAAATAGAGATTACATAACTAAAAAATAACAACAGAAAAAAAAACGAGTATCAAGGCCAACAAATAAATAGGAACAATGGCGAATATAGTAAGAAATGAAGTCACGGAAGAAATGTGGATTAAAAATAGGTAAAGAAATAATAAATAAGACTTACTCACAATCAATTTAATTTAACTATCAGACGACCGGTTTCGCTTTCTACAATATGCAAAGCATCCTCAGGTCTCGATACAAAGTTAAACAGATGCTGAAATAATAAAAACCCATATTAGGGTATTGGCTAATAACGATAAACAAAGTAGATGTTGTAAATTACAATAATTATGTCAATATTACATGTCTGTGGTTTTATTTAAATGAGTAAGTTGAATAAAAAGTATAAAAGTTTTAAAAGTTTAAACAGACAAGGTAAGACCCACAAATTGTTATAAAATAGTCTCTTCGATTGTAATGAATTAATAAATGAGCAAATAAATAAAATAAACATTACTTACATGCCGGTACTCTATTAATTGATGGATGGTAAAACATGGTTGAAACTACTATGTATTGTTGAATGGAGAACTTAATTCTATTATTGCAGTTGTTTGACAGTAAACGGGAAGTTCTTGAGGAGATAGATTTGATCCAATGAAGAAGAGATATGTGTGTGATTGTTTGTTAAATGAAAGTGATGTAATATACCATTGTGTTATTAAAAGCTATTTATACTTATTCGAGAGATATATTTTTGAAATGTGTGTTATTTATTGAGTAATTGTTTTATGAAGGTGACAGTTTTATGACAATGAATAAGTTTAGATGTAAAAATTGTGTGGGTGTGCAATTATTTTCCAACTTGTAGTTATCAAATTACTTTGGATAAAAGTAATTTGATAACTACAAGTTGGAAAAAGTAATTTGATAACTACAAGTTGGAAAATAATTGCACACCCACACAATTTGTACATCTAAACTTATTCATTGTCATAAAACTGTCACCTTCATAAAAAAATTACTCAATAAATAACACACATTTCAAAAATACATCTCTCGAATAAGTATAAATAGCTTTTAATAACACAATAGTATATTACATCACTTTCATTTAACAAACAATCACACACATATCTCTTCTTCATTGGATCAAATCTATCTCCTCAAGAACTTCCCGTTTACTGGCAAACAACTGCAATAATAGAATTGAGTTCTCCATTCAACAATACATAGTAGTTTCAACCATGTTCTACCATCCATCAATTAATAGAGTACCGGCATGTAAGTAATGTTTATTTTATTTATTTGCTCATTTATTAATTTATTACAATCGAAGAGACTATTTTATAACAATTTGTGGGCCTTACCTTGTCAGCTTAAACTTTTAAAACTTTTATACTTTTATTCAACCTACCCATTTAAATAAAACCACAGACATGTAATATTGGCATAGTTATTGTAATCTACAATATCTACTTTGTTTATCGTTATTAGACAACACCCTAATATGGGTTTTTATTATTTCAGCATTTTTTTAACTTTGTGTCGAGACCTGAGGATGCTTTGCATATTGTAGAAAGCAAAACCTGTCGTCTGATAGTTAAATTAAATTGATTGTGAGTAAGTCTTATTTATTATTTCTTTACCTATTTGAAATGGACTCACACAAGCAACACATTCATGATTTGAAATGTGGATTAATTTGAAACAAAAATAACCAAGAATTAAGAAAAAAATCAGATTTACGAAAAATTAATAAAACAATAATTAAAAATAATAATAATAATAAAATAATAATTAAAAAAAAAACAGAGTACACCGCCAATCATTGATTATCAGCTCTTCAGTTTCTTATTATATGTATTACATACTCACCTGAGGACTGAAGTCAGTCTCTCCAGCATCAAATTTAAAACTGTCGAAGCCGATATCTGTTTGAAGTTTTTTAACTCTTTCTAGCCACCATTTAGTTGCTTCCGGGTTTGTAAAATCTATGACATACGCATCGTCGCTATTCCACCACCATCCTGTATGACGTCCGTATTTGTCACTCACGAAATATCCTAAAATATTTCTATTTTTATTCTATTTGTATTTGTTTTAAATAAATTTTATACTTTATTTATACTTATGAAAGATTTTTTTTTTGAACCTATTCTCTATCCTTCCATTGTTGGATTTAGGTCTCCCCCAGTTCTCTCCATCTTTCCCTATCTTGAGCTGTTCTCTGCCATGTGGGACCTCCTTGTTTCCTGATGTCATCTTTCCACCTCATCTATGGTTTGCCTCGTGATCTCTTTGCATTGTATGGATGCCACTTTCCGATGGCATTGTTCCATCGTCCGTCTTGGAGACGTTCATTGTGTCCAGCCCATTTCCATTTCAGTTTTGCTGCTTGTTCTATCGCGTCTACTGTCTTTGTTCTGGTTCTGATCCACTGGTTACGTTTTCTATCTCTAAGTGATACACCCAACATTTGTCTCTCCATCGCTCTTTGTGCCTTCCTTCTTCTTCTTCAAGTGCCGTCTTCGTTCCGAAGTTTGGCTATCATCAAAGCTATGCGTATTTTTGATGCTGCAGATCTAAACAGTTGGTAATTGGTGCAATTGTACCATTCTCTCAAGTTTTTCAACCATGAATGCCTTCTTTCTTCCTATAGATCTCTTTCCCATTATCTTTCCCTGTATAATCAATTGCAGCAACTGGTATTTATCTCCCCTCATAACATGTCCCAAATATTGTAGTTTGCGCTTTTTAACAGTAAGTATCAGCTCTTTCTCTTTCCGCACTCTTCGCAAAACCTCCACATTTGTTACTTTCTCTAATTGTGCCTTCCTTATCCTATCCAAATTGGCCTGTGTAAATGTCCATGTCTGTGCTCCGTAGGTGAGCACCGGTATGATACAGGAGTTATATACCTTGCTTCGTAAGTATAGAGGGATTGTTTAATTTTTTAGAACGTAAGAAAGTTTGCCGAACGCTGCCCATCCCATTCTTACTCGTCTCAATATTTCGGCTGTTTGATTTTCTCTATTAGCTCTGATTGCTTGTCCTAGATAGATATACTCATTTACCTGTTCTATTTTTTCTGTTTTTATTTTTATTGCCTCTTAGTCTTCTGTGTTTGTCATTACTTTTGTTTTGTTGAAGTTAATTTTTAGGCCTTTTTGCAGTGATTTTTCATGAAGTTCATTCAGCATTAATTCCAGTTCTTGTCGTTCCGAGGAGATCAGGAGTATATCATCCGCATATCTAAGGTGATTTAGGTATTTTCCGTTAATACACATTCCTCTGTTTTCCCAATCTTTGATTTTATTATGTCTTCGAGGGTCAAGGTAAACAGTTTAGGTGAAATTATATCGCCTTGTCGGACTCCTCGTTTAACTTTTATATTATCCGTTATTAATTTGTCGTCCAGAATTACGGTCATGGTTGCGTTTTGGTAAATATCCTGTATCAATTGTCGGTATCTTGAATCTATTCTACTATTGACCAGAGCTTCTTCAACCGCCCAGTGTTCAATGCTGTCGAAAGCCTTTTCATAATCTACGAATGCTAAGTACAGAGGAAGGTTGTATTCATTGGTTTTCTCAATTAAGATTTTAAGCGTATGTAGATGGTCGATTGTGCTGTATCCTTTTCTGAATCCGGCCTGTTCCACTGGTTGGTAGTTATCAAGTTTATAGGTTAGTCGGTTGTTTATTATTCTTGTGAAGGTTTTATATAGTTGTGACAAAAGGGAAATAGGACGGTAGTTGTTTAGTTCTGTTCGGTCTCCTTTCTTATGTATTAAGATTGTGTTGGCATTTCTCCATTGTTTGGGTATTTTACCTTCAAACAGACATTTGTTGAACAGTATTTTTAGCATTTTTTTATCGTGTCTCCTCCTTCTTTTAGCAGTTCCGCCAGTATTTTGTCCTCACCAGTTCTCGCCAGTTATTTCTGGTAATACCTCTGAGCCAACATTTTGTATTTTCCTCGTGAGATTCTGTTTAGATGATAGTGGTGGGTCATTTTTAGAACTGTATAGGTCTGTGTAATATCTTTCTGTGATTTTTACTATTTCTCCTAGATCTCTTTCTTCATTGTTCTCAGCTTTAAGCATGATTAGTTTTCTTTTTCCTATATTTGTCTTCATTGTTTTTAAACTTCTGTTCTTCTCTATGATTTTCTTAATGCGGTCTTCTTGGTATTTCTTTAAATCTTCCTTTATCTGTTTTCTTATGGTTTTATTCAGTTCGGTATACTCCACTGTATTTCTTTTGTTATCATTCAGTAGTTGTCGTCGTTTTTTTAGCATATCTTGTGATTTAGCGCTAATTTTTTGTTGTTTTCGCTTTTGTTAATTAGCAATCTTCAGGCCTACTTCTAGAAGTTCTGTTGTTATTTTATCGTTTAATTCGTCTAGTTGCAGACCCTTTAGCTGTGATATGTGACTTCGTTTTAGCTGGTTTATGTATTGTTCTTTGTGTTCTTTAAGAAGGTCTGTATCTATCTCTTTTTTAGATGGTTTAAATTTTTGTCTGTCTGTTGTGGAGTTAATTTTGATTTTGGCTCTAACAATTCTGTGATCACTTCCTACGGAAATCATGTTTATGACCGTAACGTCTTGTACTATGCTCTTTTCCTTGAATAGGATGTAATCAATCTCATTTTTTGTTAAACCATTGGGCGCGACCCACGTCCATTTTCTCTGTGGTTTTTTATTGAAAAAGGTATTCATCGCATATAGACCTTTCGTTTCCATATAGTTCATTAATGTTTCTCGTCTTTCATTTCGTGTTCCATATCCAAAGTTGCCGATTTTATTTTCTGATTCTTCTAGTTTTCTCCCTAATTTGGCATTGAAGTCGCCTATAATAATTGTGTAGGTGCTTTTGTATTTGTTCACTGTTTGTGTCAATGATTCGTAGAATATATCCACTTCTTCATCCATATGTGATGATGTAGGGACGTAAATTTGTATGATCTTTAAACTTATATTTTTATTTATGTCCATTATTAGAGCCGCAATCCTTTCTGAAATTCCAATATATTGTCTAATCTTATGGACATGCTGATTAGAAATAAGGAAACCGACACCAGCTAATGATTCTTCTTTAGTTCCTTTATAGTATAGTACGTTCCCGGATTTATGAAAGATTAAATGGTTTAAATTACAAATTTTAAACATTTTATAAACATCCATAAAGAATCTAAGTTCCTGTAGTTGGCTGTATACCATGTGTTACAAATTTTCTTTTTTTTTTAAATCCTTTATAAAACGTATATAATCTAAAAAACACCTAATCGGGCTATATCAAAAAACGTTTTCGGAATCCATATTCCATATTGAATGTCTAGGTGTAAATGTATTGAGTTACTAAATGTCTTCGTAAAAACCCGTTAAAAATTATCTGTTTACATTTAGTTTACATTCTATGGTATTAAATATTAGGATGTTAAAGTTACCAATGGATTTGGTAACATGGCGACGCATGACTCCACATGAAGTTGCTGGTCCTGAGACGACGTGTCTACGAGGACTTGATGATAGCAACTGATTGAGCTATCATCAGGATCAGTGCTGAAAAAACGTAGACTAGAATGGTTCGGACATCTATGGTGTAGGTGTAGTGTAGCAAACAATGCAAGGTAATAGACTAATCAAGAATATTGTGTGGAGAATACATAAGGGCAAAAGAAAGAGAGAATGACCAAGAAAGAAATAAAGAGATGTTGTGATGGAAGATGTTAGAGAGATGGGAATCTGAGATTGGAAGCTGATAGCTAAAAACAAAACGATTGAAATTATTCTTTCAGCAATGGGCCTAAAAGGCCTGTTAACACTATACATACATACATACATATATTATATTTTTGATTTCCATTCTCAATTACTCCATATGTATTTATTTTACTTAGATACTATTTGGCTTGCACAGCTACATCAGGATTCGTAACCAACATGTGAGTAACACTTTAGTCTTTCTACATAACCCGCCATCTGAGTGTAAGTGTGCGCTCATAACAAGGCACCGACCATAGGATGGTATCATAGTAACATCGCCACGTAAAATAAATGCAATATTTTAAAAATTCTAGGGGTTACCATCAAAGCCCAGCGCCCAGCCTCGAGCGAGGTACCGGACCATAGACTTGGACCATAGTACTCTAGCTTAGTATTCCAGGTAAAATAAATGCATTATTTTAAATGCGACCGTTCACTTCACTGTCAGTGCTACGATCTAGGCGAGGATACCATGCGATGGTTTCTATAATGAACGCATCCTAAGAAGCAAATCACGAGATTTCATAGTCCCAGCGCGCTGGAGAGAGAAAAGAAGAGTTCACCGTTAAAGAGAGCGTACAATTAAAATTTACACACAATATTCAAATAATTGATAACTTTGCATTTAACTTATTTCGTCATTAAACATAATATCAGCACCATATGGTGCTGATTGCAGATTGCAGATTGAACCAAATTAAAACGGAACATACAATTTAATACATGTCTGTTTAAACTGCATTTGAAATAGTGGACCAATATAAAACTTGGACAAAAATAAATCCATACCTGGGTATAGACATTGTATAAAATATCGTTTAACTATCTGTCTCGCAACAAAGTTGTTTGCGTAAGACGGGTTTGTCTAAGGAGGCGATAATAGTTCAGGAAATGAAGCTCGAAAAAAGTTAAAACCTCGCAATTTTTTCGTCCTGCATGTATTCAGTTGAAATTTTAGCAGAAGGTAGGTAATAGCCCAAGGATCAAAATCTATATCGAACCGAAGTGCGATGAAGGGTTTTAGGGGTGAAAACTACCCCTAATTGTCAAAAATTATAAAATAACATATTGAACCTGAATATGGGTAAAATTTGGTTTGAATTAATTAAATAATGATAGTTTCGTGATTTTAAATAAAGTTCCATCATATTTCAACCCTTAAAAAGCGACCCTTATTAGAGATTAATATAAAAAAATTGGTAATGCGAAGAAAATGATTTCACCTTGGAACGATTTGGATAAAAATTTGGAATTAAGCTCAACTCACCCTCTGCTTTATAGTTTATGTCATGCCGATGAACCCTGATTGTTCTTAGGGGTGAAAACTACCCCTAATTTTCAAAAATTGTAAAATAATATTACAAATCTTAAGATGAGTGAAACTTGGTTTGGATTAGTTAAATAGTGAGTTTTTTATACTTTAAAATACAAATTCATACATTTTCAACCCTTAAAAATCAATTGTTATGAGTGCTATAGGTGAAAACAATTTTTTGCCAAAATTTTGCAACTTTTCAACTGTTGAAAATCACCCTTTACAACATTGCAGTTTTTATAAACTAATTTATAAGATATAAATTGAAAAAAGTAGAATTAAATACAAAAAAAATTATCAACATAAAAAGGCACCATAATTATATTCTTATACATTTACATAAATAGTTGAAAATATTTACATTTATAGGTAAAACAATTATAATATTAATTTTATTCGTCATCAATTACATCTTCATCGTGATCTATGTCATCCTCATCTTCTTCAATTATTGGTGGACTGTTATTGCACCCTTCACCTGAGCACCCAGAACAAGTAGAGTTACAGTATAAATCAACTTTTCTGCAACAATATGAAACGCCGCATCCTTTTTTGCATTGGCAAAAAATAATTTTCAAAAATTTATTTGTGCAGGTTGTTTGTTCATGCGTACGGGTAATAACAAACCATCTTTGGAATACCATCCCCAATCTGTTGCTCTGATATTTTCATTGCCAAGCCATAGACATAGGAGCAGATGTTTTATTCTGTTGTATGGGATTTCAAAATAAGAACGCTTAAAATTTCGAATGTATAACGCCCCACTAGCTAATATACCGGTTTTGCAGATTATTATGCTCCGAAATGTACTGTACTATACTAATGGAATTTTCCGGAAAAAAATTAACTGGTTTTTTTAACGTATTTCCTTTAATTTTTAATGATAGAGTGTTTCTTCAAAAACGATTTGTAGAGGTTTTTAATAGCTACAAGGATCTGTGAATTAAATCTTTTTGGAACCCTTGGTTTTTAAATGGGGTGAGTTTAAAGGGCTCGAAAAAGATGGTACTTGATCGTAAATCGATGCTTTAAACGGCTATATCTCGCCAAATATTCATTGTACAACAAATCTAAATAATGGATAATTATTATCATTAATTATGTCATTAAAAAAGCTACAATTTGGTAGTTTTTATTTTTTTCACATATTCAGTATTTTCGGGCATATTTAAAAAAAGAAGGGTAAAAAATATGAAATTGTAAATCGTTTCTCGCTTTAAGCTGTACTTTTTCTAAAACTAAGATTTTAAATGGGTCAAACTTCTTGGACGTATTAACAATACATCTACAAAGGGAATTGCAGAAGCGTGAAGATCGATTTTAATTATGGGGGTGGTTAGGGTGTTGTTTTCCTCGATTTTTTCGTAAAAAATTAGGTATTGACCTTATTTTTTTATGATAGGTCTATTTATGCTCTTTAAAAAAGGTTTTCTGAGTTTTCTTCCAAAAATGCATCATTTTCCCGATATTTGACTTTGAATCTTTCAAATTTGGCATTTAAAGAAAACCGCTGAACATTAATATTGTATTTGTAATTGTATTTGTCTTTTTAAAAGCTACAAATTTGTTCTCTACAATTTTTTTGATAAAATGCACCATTTTCGAGTTATTCGCGAAAAATCGATTAAAAACGTGGATTTTTTCGTCTAAAAGTTGTTACTTTCAATCGCGAATAACTTGAAAAATATCATTTTATAAAAAAATGTATAACACATTTTTTGTTTAGAATCACTTTTCTAATCGAAACCTGTAGTTAAAACGGAAAAAAAAAAATTTACCCCGGAGATGGGGTGGCAACCACCCCCTAGGCTTTGGCGCACTTTGGTTCGATAAAGATTTTGATCCTTAGGCTATTACCTACCTTCTGTTAAATTTCAAGTCAATCCACGCCGCACGAAAAAATTGCGAGGTGAACTGCTACATTTCCTGGACTATAACTGGTTTGACAGCATAATAAAATCGTAGATTTATGTGTAGCTTTCAATTTTTATGATTTCAGAATCCAGCAGCCCGCTGAAGTATGGGATTTTTTTTAGTATAATTATTTGACAATCTTTTGTTGGCCAACCACCTACAGCAGAATTGAGCCGAAATACATTATATTTCTATGTTCCGAATTTATTTCGTTCAATCTGTATATGAAATACATATACATATAATAACTACAATATAGCATACCATTGTCTAAACCTATCTCAGAATTGTTGCTGCAATTAGCATTTACAAATGGATGAATCCAGAGGGTTACACGAAAATCAATACTTTTTAGTGTCTTAACCGTATTCTTGATGTTTGAAAATGTATTCTGTGAAAACTGCTCTGCACCATAACATCTCTAAAACAAATTATTCTTACATTTAATCAAAGCCTAAGATTTTGTTATGTTTTATATACATAATATGTGGGACAGATTGGTTTAATTTCCATTTATTCTTAACATTCCCTGGTGCTTATGAATACTGATGATGTACTGAAGTAGGAAATAGTAAAAGAGTTTATAACAAAAACTGGAACATTGGAGACAAACAAGCTCTTAAGGAAAAAGTTATAAACTAAAAGTATAAACGAGTGTATATAAATGAGTGAGTATAAACACAGGAATATCAATTGCTGTAAAATACCTCAGCCATCAAGATTTGCAGACCACATCATTCTCATAGCTAATAATTCTGCAGTACTAAAAAAACTTACAAGCGACCGAAATAATTCAGCTAGCAATGAAGTTGGTCTAAACATAAACTTAACAAAAACAAAAACTATGTACAACGAGCTAGTGGATGTTCAAGATGTAATAATATACAACACTGCACTTGAGACAGTAGACGAGTATATATAGCTGGAACAATTAATACATAAATCGAAACTCAAAGTCACTCAAAGGTCAATGGAGCAATGCATGCTAGGTATAACAAAGAGAGATCGAAAGAGAATAGAATGGATGAGACAGAAAACCAAGGTTATTGATGCAATCCATAGAATTATGGCAGTGGGAATCAGGAAACAAGCCAGTGTGCAACATGGCACGGAAAAGCGAATTTTAGATAATCATGCGTAGACATGAAGAATGAATATTGTTCTGAAGCTATTTTCTTGTGGCATTGTAAATTAATTACTATTTATAACTGGGAATAAGCCACAATTAAAGATAAAAATACGTTTATTGACGTTTCAATTTCCAATTCGGAAATCGTTCTCAAAATACAAACAGTAAATTAAACAAATTTTGTTTTTTGTTACATAGTGAAAAAATTCTTCTAATAATTTAATTTTATCTGACTCATTTATATTGACAATTCAGACATACATTGTGCATTTTAAAGTAGACGACTTTAAAATGATATTGCCAATATTGTTGAGTTGCGCTCCTGGGACGACTTTACTTATAAGATAGTTCATTCGATTACATGAAATCAACTTTAACTTGAGAATATCCGTCAGAAAAAATCATAGCATGTAATTCGTCTTTAAAAAGACAAACACATGACACGATGACAGTAAAATTCTCCTGTTAGTGATTCCATAGTAAATTATGAGGGAAAAACCAGGAAAAAAACCTCATAATACTATCCCGACATTGTAAGTATTTGTTCGTGAATTTAGTTTACCTTCAACAAACATCAAAATTCTGATTTTATATGTTACGTTATTTAAAAAATATAAACGATGTATCCTCTATATGTTACTGACTTACTAATACTGGTATTTTCTTATTAATAACTTCCTCTTTCAATATTGGTAACCAGATCCTACTACATTCTGCCGAGGAATTTGCGACACAATTGGCCTCATTTAGCATAATTAGAGCCGCTTCTTTGATTTTTCTTTTTTTACCATCTGTTTCTTTTAGGACTATATTTGAATTATTCCATTGAACCCTACGTTCATGATCCCATGCGTGTTTACAGATTTAATTACTATTTATAACTGGGAATAATCTGTAAACACGCATGGGATAATGAACATAGGGTTCAATGGAATAATTCAAATATAGTCCTAAAAGAAACAGATGGTAAAAAAAGAACAATCAAAGAAGCGGCTCTAATTATGCTAAATGAGGCCAATTGTGTCGCAAATTCCTCGGCAGAATGTAGTAGGATCTGGTTACCAATATTGAAAGAGGAAGTTATTAATAAGAAAATACCAGTATTAGTAAGTCAGTAACATATAGAGGATACATCGTTTATATTTTTTAAATAACGTAACATATAAAATCAGAATTTTGATATTTGTTGAAGGTAAACTAAATTCACGAACAAATACTTACAATGTCGGGATAGTATTATGAAGTTTTTTTCCTGGTTTTCCCTCATAATTTACTATGGAATCACTAACAGGAGAATTTTACTGTCATCGTGTCATGTGTTTGTCTTTTTAAAGACGAATTACATGCTATGATTTTTTCTGACGGATATTCTTAAGTTAAAGTTGATTTCATGTAATCGAATGAACTATCTTATAAGTTAAGTCGTCCCAGGAGCGCAACTCAACAATATTGGCAATATCATTTTAAAGTCGTCTACTTTAAAATGCATAATGTATGTCTGAATTGTCAATATAAATGAGTCAGATAAAATTAAATTATTAGAAGAATTTTTTCACTATGTAACAAAAAACAAAATTTGTTTAATTTACTGTTTGTATTTTGAGAACGATTTCCGAATTGAAAATTGAAACGTCAATAAACGTAATTTTATCTTTAATTGTGGCTTATTCCCAGTTATAAATGGTAATTAATGAAGAATGAATATGTAAGGAAGCCTTCACCTTAATCGGTAGAATATGCTCAGAATAACAGATGGTGATGATATCAACTAATCATAAAACATATTCTTAACATACCTCCCAATTGTCATCAATCTCTATCTGTCCTTTTTCATATCCATGGTTCCGTATTTCTTTGGCGAACTTTAGTACCACAGAATCGTTTATCTTTGTTTTATATTTTGCCCAAGTTGTCCAAATGGGTTCAGCTACCATAGCTTCATTGGGATGGTCTACAAAAAAGTTACAGCAACAGATTATATTAATAGATGTAGCAGTAGTAATAAATAGCATATACGTATAGTAAATATTAGAATTATATAAGAAAATAACAATATAATATCAATAACTTATCAAAATAATGGATAATCTACCCTGCAAAATACAAGATCCTGATGTAAATCTGACATACAATTCCGTGTTAATTTAGTAGTTAATAACATATTTTTTAAAGCCCTTCTCTCTCTTCGGATTGCGGAATATAGGCCTCTCATAATTCTCGCCATTCATCTCTGTTTGTAAGACGTTTCTACATTGGTCCTAAAGTTCATATGTAAGTACAGGTAGGACACAGGAATTCACTTTGGTTCTCAGTCTTTGAGCTATATTTTTATTTTTAAGTACGTATGAGAGTATTCCGAATGCTGCCAAACCTATTTTTACACGTCAGTTTATTTCGGTAGTCTGATTTTCTTTGCTTACCTTGACATTTTGATCCAGATATGTAAATACATCATCATATGTATATCATCATGTGTTCTATCTCTCTCCTGATGTCATTCATAATGTAGCTTCTCCTTTTTAAAAATTTTAAACTGTTTTCCTTGTGTAGTGTAGTGTAATGTATAATTTTATGTTTATAACATTCTCAACAGATTGTTCGATAGGGCAAAATTGACGAAATGCCACTGAATATGCTCTAGGAAGCAAAAGTACTTGGGCAAGATTTCATTTTAACTGTGGTCGATATCTGCCTTTCATTGCTGCTAATGGTCCTACCAAAGCATATGAATGAAGTATTGTGCGATTTTCGAATGCTTGATCGACTTAAGGCATACATAAGTATACAAAATCGTTATTTCTCCAGTGGTCCTATATAAAACAGAATGTTGACCAGTTACAGCCTAACAAGGACAAGCTATGCATCTCATGGAAAAGAGGATGCTGCCATTGATGTTAGGCATATCCCGCCGGTATTGTACAAAAATGAAGATATTAGGGGAATAATGGGAGTTGAGCGAATTAGAAATAGGATGCAGAAAAATCTACTATGGCAGTATGAACATGTAGAGCGTGGCGATGAGAACTCCTGGAAGGGACTTCAGAGAGCTTCAGACCCTACAATATTGCGAGATTAACGCTAGGAAAATGATAGTTCTTATTTCACATTTTGACATTATAAACGTTACATCTTTATTAATTTATAATTAAATAATTATTTTATTTTAATTTTTTTTAAGTGCTACTTTTTAAGTATACTCTACTTTTTAAAAAGTAGTTGGCATCCTTTGTTTTTTTCTTTCTCTGTCTTTCTTTTCTCTCCCTTTCTGTCCCGTGGAATAAATATTCGCCCTCTCTATTTCTCTCCGGTAGACTAAATATCCCGTTGTATGTTGACAGAACAGCTAATTCCATCGTATAGGAACATCCTATGACAACTGTGCTAACTTTATTCAGTCCCCTACTTCCTGTCAGTCAACTTTTCTAACGTAGTGGGAATATAATTTTTTCATAATATAACATTCTATAATTCTGACAGCATTTCCAATATTCATAACCTTAATTCTATCGAAAGCACGTTTTCTCGATTATATGCAGCTAGTGATCTGAACAGAATTTAACTAAGTAGTAAGAATTATATTTCATTTTATCCTTGTCCATTCGCTATTCGTTTAATTGTAATTTTGTAAAATGGCAAGAAAGTTAAACTCTTCTTGATGTGTCACTAATACAAGCTGTTCTTAATTTTGTTATGACCATTCAGCATCCTTATTGCCATATCGATTATTGACCATATTCAAGAGTTTATTGGCGTATTCCAGATTTTATTGGCTGCATTGGAGCATATGAAATAACTGGATATTCCTAGAATATTTATTGAAACAATTTGCAGCTCTCCGGAGGACATACCATTTAATTGGGAGGATACACAAGCAGCCCATCGAAGCCATAAGTATCATCCTCATGAATTAATTGTTAAGCTTTGGCAGAGTTAATTATTGTTTTTTTATTATTTTTGATAAATATGATTGGTTAAAATTTGTTTTATTTGCTATCAGCTAGAGTTCAGGTTCAATCCCTCGTTTAAAACAGGACGAACTCACACTTAAGATACTGAGCTAGGCAAGGCATAGACGATAAGTTCCCATAGTCGATTGAGGTATGATTTTTTATAATATTACTTCAATTCTCTTTGGCAGTCTTATCATTACAACATATCTGTTTTGCTGGGTTCTATTATTATTTTTCTATATATTCTAGTTTTCTATTAAGTATACTGTTTTCCTCGTTAGTTTCTTTATCACTAAACTGTACTGCAAGGGCAACATATGAAAGAACTTTAGAGTATTTTATACTAGACCAGATTTGGCACTTAGTGATTTTTATTTGTTTAGAAATCTGGAAAAATGGGTTTGTGATAGGAGACCTTCATTTAGTTCTGTAATATATATATTCTAGATAGCGTTATAGAGTACTTGAATTCATTGTTGATTTTGAATTTCATTAAAATTACTTGAGATTTTAACTAATAATAATATTGGAAAATAAAACTTTTGTGCAAAACAAAAATGTTTGTCTTATTTGTTTCATCACGTAGTTATCGTACAGTATTGATTTTATTCAGAGTTCATTATATATGCAAATAATATAGTACGAACCTTTTGGTTTTCCTAGAAATTTATTTACGGCATGGAGATGAGCTTGTTTTACATCGTCTTTAAAAACAATGTAATACTGCAGTACATTCTGAAACATTTGTTAAAAATACTTAGTTAGATATTTATTTTAATAGTTTAAAATACTTTTAAAATAATTTAAATAATTCATACACGGGAACTTTAAATATTAACATATTTTTAAAATGTCAAAAATGTTGAATTTATAAACTTGTTTTGGAAACTGTTATAGATAAGATTTATGAATTACGTAATAACACGTAATGTACATTTTACATAAATTTCTTACATTCATTGAATGCTTTTTTTATTGTAGAAATAATATTACAATCTAGATGATGACCAATATGTAACTTTTGGCAAATTATACTATACTAAATTAAATTAATGCTAAGCGTTAACCTATGCTAACTAATTAGAATAGTATAATAACTAAGGCACTTTTTTTGCTAGCTGTGAACAGTAAATTCTGCTTTCTAAAATATCCTTCGTAAAATTTGGTCCTCTTGACTCGTCTGGTTTGGTTTGAGTTATCTAAGAATTGGATTGCCACGATATTCTCATGATAGTGAATAATGGTACAACATTTCCTCATTACTTCTTGCACATTTTTAATTTCTTGTTCCACTCCAAGGTCTGATGAAGCTCTTCGTTCCAAATGACTGGAATGTCAGAGAACTCTTTTTTAAAGGTTTGAATCATTTTGATATCCGTTTTTTTTGTAACATTTGTACAACCAACCCGAAGTTGCATGCCAGAAGTTTATATAGGTTTTAAGGTTTGTTTGTAGAGAAGAAATTGAATATGTATTAATAAACCTTCCCATTAGCTATAAAATTTTTGTATCTTGTATACAAATTTCCTCTTTTTTCGGTTTAACAGGAGCTGTTCAGAAAAGCTTCGTATTTAGTGAAAGATCTAGATATTTGACCACAAGCCATATTTTTGTTTTTAATAACGCATATTTTCAGTATTAAAAAATTGTCTGTTAAATGAGTAAAAAAATAAATAGAAAACCGAGTACAGAATTTTGGTGGTGGAGGTATGTGGAGTAGATTTTGAAGAAAAAGTAGATCTTGTTATATTATGAGAAAGTCGCTTTAATGCTGATATGTATATATATATATATATATATATATATATATATATAAGGTTCTTGAACTCCTAAGTGGAGCATAGAGCTTCAGTGAAAACGCGCCATCGGGTTCTATTTTGCGCTAAGGCCTTCACCTCATTCCAAGACTTTCCTTGTTTTCTTATCTCGTCCATGATGGATCTTCTCCAAGTTTGTACTGGGCGACCTTTTTTTCGTTTTCCTTGGGGATTCCACTCTAGGGCAGTCTTTGCAATACTGGAGTTATTTTTTCGGAGTGTGTGACCGATCCAACCCCACTTTCTGGACTTTATTTCATTTACTTACAGACTTTTGTCCGTAAGGGTTTTTGTCGCTTTCCAGGTTTCACATCCGTAAAGTAGTACAGACATGACATTTGACTGGAATATGTGGATCTTTGTCCTCGTAGTGTAGTCTCCAGACCTCCAAGCAGGGTTGAGCATGCTGGAAGCTTGTTGCGCTTTTCGTATCCCATACGAATATCGTCTTCTGTACCTCCGCTTTCTGTTATGACACTTCCAAGATACGTAAAGTTTTCCACATTTTCAATCTGCATGTTATTAATGGTGAATAGCGTGTTGTTTCTTGCATTTATTCTCATGGATTTGGTTTTACCAATATTGATTTTCAAACCTATTTTATTGGCTTCAGTGGAAAGTGTTTCCAATTGGTCAGCCACATATTGGAACCTTTGTCCTAACAGGCAGATATCGTCGGCGTTTTCTAGATCGCTTAGGCGTGTGGTTAACGTCCATTGTATCCCTCTTGTGTCAGAGTCTAGTTTGGAGAGAACATAGTCTAGAGCTATGTTAAAAAGAAACGGAGAAAGCACGCATCCCTGTCTGACTCCAGTAAGTACGTCAAATTCGTCACTGTTGATCCCATTGTGTGTCACGCTGCATTTCGCTTCAGTGTACAGTAACTTTATAATGGAAATTATTTTATGCGGGATGTTTCTTAGCTCTAAAATTTTCCATATCGCATCATGAGATAAACTGTCAAAAGCACGCTCGAAATCAACAAAAACCATGTATAGGGGTGTGTTTCATTCAACCGATTGTTCCATTATTAGCCTCACAGTATTAATGTGGTCTATGCAGGAGGATTCTGGTCTAAAGCCTACTTGATTAGCTCGAAATTCAACCTTGTTTGTTAATCGTTTAAGTATGATGGTCGTGAAGATTTTATTTATGGCGGTAAGCAAGGTTATTCCTCTCCAATTTTTGCATAGTGTGAGGTTGCCCTTTTTTGGAAGCTCAATAATGATGCCTTTTTTCCAGCCCGCTGGAATGCGGTTTGTTTCCCACACCTCTCGGATTATGGGGAGCAAAAGTTCAGCAGTTAGATGCGGATCAGTTTTAAGTATTTCGGCAGCAATGTTATCGATTCCCGGAGACTTGTTATTTTTCAGAGATTTGATAGCTGTTATTATCTCTGTTTTGGAAGGGGCGTCGCAAGATATACGCAAGTCTATATTCTGTGGATTTTCGACAATTTCATCTGCGTTATCCCTGGGCGTGCCTAGCATCTCCTGAAAATGCCCTTTCCATCTCTCTATTTGGTCATTTGTTGTAGTAAGTAATTCTTCTGTCTTGGATCTTACGACGTTTGAACAGTTGGGCCCACTTTTTGTTAGACGTCTAGTAATTTGGTATAGCTCTCTAGTTCTATTGTGTTGTGCAGCTATTTCGGCTTGTTTTGCCAGTTATTCAGCCCATCTTCTTTTGTCTCTTCTTGCATTTCTTTTAACTGCTTTATTTATTGTTTCATATTCTTGTTGTCGGTTCGCTCTTTCTTCTACAGTTCTTGCTTGCAAAATATCTTTTTTTTGCTGTTTTCTTTCTTCGATAAGATTCCAAGTTTCATCTGATATCTATTCTTTTCTATGTTTTTTATTACCCAGTTTATCTTCAGCTATTTCTGTCAAAACATTTGCCAGATCTTCCCAGCTATTTACTTCACGTTCTCTTCTTTTGAGTTGAAGTTCCTCCTTATATAAACATGTATCTTCCTGTAGCCGTTTTTAATTTGTCTAGATTGTATGTTGGTCGTTTGGTGTTTCGTGTGATTTTGTTTTTTGCCATTTTGATTTTAATGGTACCGATTATAAGATGATGGTCACTTGCGATGTCTGCTCCTCTTTTGTTACGTACATCAAGAAGAGATGATCTCCATCTTTTTGATATGGCGATGTGGTCTATTTGATTTTCTCTTATATGACCTGGTGCAGTCCATGTAACCTTGTGAATATTTTTATGTGGGAAGATGGTTCCACCAATAACTAAGCTATGATTGGAGCAAAAATTTGTAAAGCGCTCTCCGTTTTCATTCATCACTCCCAGGCCATGTTTGCCCATTACTGTTTCTAAGTTAATATTGTCTTCTCCAACTTTAGCGTTCATATCGCCCATCACTATTAGTATATCGCCTTGGTTTACTTGTTGGGTCGTTTGTTCTAGTTGTTCGTAGAATATGTCTTTATCTTCGTGGAGAGATGTGTTCGTGGGAGCATAGCACTGAATCACTCTTATCTTGCGGTATCTGGTATAAAATATGGCAATCATAATTCTATCATTGATTGGTTTCCATGAAATGAGGCTTTTTTTGGCTTATTTGCTGAGTATAAGACCCACTCCGCTTTTGTGATTTCCATTTTCTTTACCACTGTATAATAGGAGTTCTCCTGTTTGGGTATGGTGTTCACCATTTCCCAACCATCTTACTTCCGATAGACCAACAAAGCTTAATTTATAACTGTTTAATTCTTTTACTGCTTGAGCTAGTTTAGAAATCTCATACAGAGTTTTAACATTTCAGCAACCAAAGCATATCAGCTTTAATGCTGATAGGTACATTTAATGTACGTATTTTCAGTGAAAATCGTACACACTATGCTAATAAAAGATTGATGACATCGAAATTATTAGACAAAAGAACCAAAATGACTATCTGCAGAATTTGATTAGACCCGTAGTAGCCTATAGTTTGTGAAACCTGGGTCATGACGCAAAAAGAGGAAGCCCAACTTGGGATATTCAAAAGAAAGATACTAAGAAAAGTATATGGCACGGTGCAAGACAACGATAGAACATGGGGAATCAAAAGAAACGTCGAGGAAAATAAACTTAATAAAGGGTGTGATATTGTAAGATTTGTGAATTATCAAAGACTGAAACAGCTAAGATCTGTTCAGTGACAAAAAGACACGAAAACGACAAAGAAGGTGTTATGGGGAAGCCGGTAGGAAGGCGGAAAAATAAATGCCCAAGACAAGATGGTTCGATGACGTGAAAGACGACCTGAAAACCATAAATATAAGATATGGAGGGGAAGGGCACAGGAGAGATCTGAATGGAAGGACATAGCTAGACAGGCAAAAACCTATTCAGGATGATGATGTCAAAACTATAAGAAGACATATTTGTATACTTATGCTTCCTGATCACCAAAAATAGTTATTGCTTCGCATAAATCAAGCTTCGCAACAGATAAATTAATTAAAATATGGAAAGACTTAACAATAACATGAAATACTAAGATTAGATTAGGACCTAATTTGTCCCATTGCTACATGGGAACAGCATTACGCAGCAGAAACATGGACTCTCAAAAAAATCGATAAGAGTAGGATCGATGTCAACCTTTGAAATGTGGACCTACAGAAGATTTCTATGCATATCCTGTACAGAACATAGAACCAATCTGTCAATTCTTGAAGAGTTTTATATAAAAAACAGGGTACTAAAAAAAGTAAACCTAATTTACTTCAGCCAACAGGAAAACTAGCAAATGCATGCCACGAAATGAAACGTTTAGGGTTGCAGATATTGGGTTTGAGTGAAGTTAAATGGCCAGGTTCAGGTAAAGTTAAAACCATGAACAAAACTTTCTATTACTCGGGTAATAACGATCCGGTTCATCGTAACGGGGTTGGAGTAATTTTAGAAGACAAATATAACCATGCCGTCACAAACTTTGTGCCATTTTCGGACCGATGTCTTCTTATTCAACTATCCGGAAAGCCAGTAAATATTAACATCATTCAACTTATGCCCTACGGCCGATAAACCCATAGAAGAGCTAGAAGCGTGGTATGCTGACGTAGAAAAACTAATAAAGATGACCAAAAAACGAGACCTAACATTTATCTTAGGTGACTTTAATGCTAAGTTAGGTAGAGGAAAAGTTTCTGGATTGATCGGAAACTTCGGACTTGGAGCAAGGAACGACAGGGGAGAGAGAATGACCGAATTCTGCCAACAACACAACATGGTAGTGACAAATACATGGTTTAAATTACACCCTCGCAGATTGTACACTTGGACTTCACCACAACACAATGAAAACAGAGTAATCCGTAACCAAATAGATTACATATTGGTCAACAAAAGATATCACAATGCAATCATCAGTGCAAAAACATATCCTGGAACTGACATCAATTCCGATCATAATCCTGTTGTTGCAAAAGTTCGCGCAAGATGGAAACTAATAAAGAAACAAAAACCTCAACACCAACTATTAGACATCCAATATTGAAAAACGACACCATACATCAGACAGTAAATAAAGAATTAAACAAAAATTTAGGAAATATCGACCACAATAGAATTAGCGAGTACGATGACATAAACGTTCTGTGGAAAACTATTAAAGAACAAATGAACAATGTAACGAAAAAACATCTAAAAGTAACACCTAGAAATAACAAACAGGAATGGATGACAGAAGAGATTTTACAATTAATGAACAAACGAAGAGAATCTAAAGGAAAAAATGACAAGGACGGAGAATACAAAAGACTAAATAGAATAATTCGAAAAAAAAATAACCGAAGCAAAAGAGAAATGGCTGGAAACAAAATGCGTTGAAATAGAAGAACTGCAACAAAGGCACGATTTTTTTAATTTACATAAAAAGGTAAAAGAGTTTACATCGACTACCAAGAGAACGACTTTTCACACCATGCTGAACACGGATGACAAACTGCTAGAATCAACGGAAGATAAACTGAAAGAATGGGAAAACTATATTAAAATTCTTTTTCACGACATACGAGAAGAACCAAGATTGGAAAATAACAACGAAGGGCCAACAATTCTGAAATCTGAAATCATAAATGCAATTAATCATCTCAAAACAAATAAAAGCCCAGGTCCAGACGGAATATACCCAGAAACGTTCAAATTAATCAGCGAAGAAAATATCGAATTATTTGTCCTTTTATTCAATCGCATTTATGATACAGGTAAAATACCCCAAGATTGGCTGGAGTCAATATTCATCCCACTACCAAAAAAGCCAAACCCACAACACTGCAATGAGTTCCGTCTGATAAGCCTTATGAGTCATGCAGTAAAAGTCCTACTAAAAATCGTACATAATCGTATCTATAGAAAGTGCGAAACAATCATCGGAGACGATCAGTTTGGATTCAGAGCCGGCATGGGAACGAGAGAAGCCCTGTTCAGTTTACTAGTTCTCGCCCAAAAATGCTACGACCAACAGAAAGATATATTTATATGCTTTATAGACTTCGAAAAAGCATTTGATAGAGTAAGACACGACCTACTATTAGAACGTTTGCAAGAAGTCGGTTTAGATGGAAAAGACATCAAATTCTTAAAAAACTTGTACTGGAACCAAAAAGCCAGAGTTAGGATCGAAGGTTCCACATCCGCAGAAGTAGAAATTAGGAGGGGAGTTAGACAGGATGTGTTCTGTCGCCTCTGCTGTTTAATCTTTACTCCGAGTTTCTATTTAAAGAAGCATTGGAGGATTCCAAGGATGGAGTCAAGGTGAATGGCGTAAATATCAACAGTATCAGATACGCCGATGATACAGTGTTAATTGCGGATTCCGACTCAGGTCTACAACGACTCATCGACAAGACCAACTCGACCTGTGAGCAATTTGGTATGAAAATAAACATTAAAAAAACCAAAGTGATGTCAATCCGAAAAAACCAAAACGTACCTCAACCTTGCACAATAAATGGCACATCTTAGAACAGGTCAATAGATTTAAGTACCTGGGATGTTGGATCGATAGCAGCCTAAATCCTGATCAAGAAATAAGATCGAGAATAGAACAGGCTAGAAAATCTTTCGAAAAAATAAAAAAACTGCTTTGTGATTCTCGAATAAAACTCGAAATTCGACTACGTTTATCAAAATGCTACGTCTGGTCGACTCTTCTATATGCAGTTGAAACGTGGACCCTTAAAACATCAACCGTAAATAAATTGGAGGCCTTTGAAATGTGGATCTACCGGAGAATACTCAAAATTTCATGGACATCGCATACCTCAAACGAAGAAGTGCTGCATAGAATAGGCAAGGAAAGAGAACTTTTTAACACAGTAAAAGTAAGAAAAACATCATACCTAGGCCACATACTGAGAAATAATAAGTACCAATATGCCCAACTTATAGTGAAAGGAAAAATCGAGGGAAAGAGAGGCCTAGGAAGGAAAAGACTATCATGGCTCAGAAACATCCGACAATGGACAGGGCTAAATTTTGAACAGCTAATAAGAACAGCTGAAGATAGAGAGGAGTTTAAAATTGTAGTAGCCAACCTCCATTGAGGAGAGGGCACTTTAAGAAGAAGAAGGCCAAATAGCTAGAAAAACGGGGACCATAAAACTATTGATAGTAGAAGGAAAGTTAGAAGGCCAAAGACCAAGAGGTAGATCTCCAACACGATGTGCAGACCAAATAAAGATTCGAGTGGGAAAGTCCCTACATGAAGCCCTCTATTATGGCACAGGATCGCAGTCAATGTAGACAGCAAACCAATTATATTTAAAGCGTCTCCACGCCCGAACAAGGGCTCAAAGAATGATGAGGCGGACATTATCTGGAAAAACATGTGGTACCTTATTTATAAGAAGATTAAAATAACAATATGCGGATGGAGGTAACATACACGGGTGGTAGTCCAGAAGATTACTTCTGTGATGGGGAGGTTGTCAGAAACGAGGAGAGCTTGGCAGGGTGTTGTGCAGTCAATCATCCTTCACGCTGCATCAGTCTGGAGTGCGGCGGTAGAGAAACTGACCTACAAGGGGCTCATGATACGAGTATACCGAACGATTTTGTTGCGAGTAGCATGCACTTAAAGGACTGTATGAACCTTACGGACTATCACGGGTTGTGTTCCTCTGCATGTGTTAGTAGTAAAAACGAGATATCTGTTTAAGAGACGAAAGTCTATTTTATAATTTAGATTTAAAAAATATCTTAAACTGGATTAAAAATGTTTGTTAAATTTTTATTTGTTGCTAAATTAATCAATATTTGGGATTTTTTTTTATTTTTTGGTTTTTGATTGAACGTACAATAACAAATTATTGTAATTTAAGTTTTTCTAATACTTTCACCTAGAAACTTGATATATTTACTACCTACAATCGGATCTTGCTCAACTTTTATTTGGCAACTGATAAAAAGGCAATTTTAATTAGTAAATATTATGTAATGGAAGAGCCCAATATAATAGTTCATTTCATGGCCACATAACCAATTTTATTATATAATGAGTGAGATTGTCTACAAACGACTGATCTTAGTACTTGTAACGTTATAAACGTCACATCTCTATTAATTTATATTTAAATAATTATTTCATTTTAATTTCTTTATTAATTTAATAATTTGTTTATATTCAGTTAATTTTTACTATCTTTTTTATTTAAAAAGTAGTTGGCGCCCTCTCTGTCCATTTATATTTCTTTTCCTGTTTTCATTTCTTCCTCTGTCATTATTTCCTCTCTCTTTCTGTAACGTAGAATAAATATTCGCCCTCTCTCTTTGTGTTCTGTGTTGACAGAAAAGTTAGTTTCATGAAATAGCAACATCCTATGACATCTGTGCTAACTTCAAGTAGTTTCCCACTTTCTGTCAAAACAACTTCTAACCTGGTGGGATTATTTTTTGTCTGATTTTCACTTTATAAAAGAAGGCAAAAATTATAATTAGACTCATTTTATGGTCTACCAATTCTCTTAGGTTTATTGGAAATATCGGGAACATACCCTTTCATTAGGAATACTTAAAGCAATTCAATATACCAATCAGCAATATCTACATTTTACTGTAATTGTTGACCACATAGGACCACGTGTAACTGCAGTTCTCCAACCAACAACATTCCATTGGAGGACCTAGCAGCTAGGACACACAAGTAGCCATCGAACAAAGCAATAAGTATTGCATTAATTGTTAAGCTTTGGCAGGGTCTATTATTGTGTTTTTTTTAATAAATATGTTTGGTTAAAATTTGTTTTATTTGCTATCAACTGAGAACTCAGGTTCAATTCCTATTTTAAGACAAGACGAACTCACCCTTGAGATACTGAGCTAGGCAAGGTATAGACGATAAGCTCCCATGGTTGATTGAAGTATTATTTTCACAATATTACTTCAACTCTCTTTGGTTGTCTTATCGTTACATACTTGTATATACTTTGTAGAAATTTATCTTATTTTTTTACTTATAAGTACTTACCCTTGTTCTATTAAAGTACGCATGGAACGGATTACGGATATATGATTTGAAGCAAATGCTGTTATTTCTTATATTATTTTGATCAACATAAAGTGGGACATCGTCGTTTAAGAAAATATATGAGCCTTTAGAATTTAACCAGTACCTTTCGGCATATGGGATGCCTTCACGGTTGTTAAGAACGTATGGAGAAGATCCATCAATTTTATTAGTTTGTATTGGCCAAATTAAAGAGAATATTGTTGGTCCTCCATACCTAAAGATACAAAAAAAAATTATCAAGAGGTGAAAATTATAATTTTACATAAGTTTAACTATAAAAAAATATTTTTAACAAGTTTTTATTAGGTCGAAAGAGCTGGTAGCTGTTTTAACCTAATAATAGTTGTTACAAATAACTACGGCAGCAGATGGTAAAATGTTGAATATGGTCAAAGCTTTTGCATGTAATTAAAATATGGACTCCAAAACTAGCCATTAGACATGTGTGTTCACAAAAGATTGCTAAGTACGGCTATCATAGAGAAAAAAACGATTAAACGTAGAGATCTAACAAAGAGAATGCACTATTAGGGGACTTTATGATTCCTCAACCTCTTGCATCCACTGTTGGATATAGGTCTCCTCCATGTTCTTCCACTGTTCTCTATCTTGCGCCTTCTGTATCCAATTTCCGACTGTTTTTCTCAATTCGTCCATCCATCTTTTTTGTTGTCAGCCTCGGTGTCTTTTGTCTTCTCTAGGTCTCCATTCTATGAGTCTTTTGGTCCACCTATTATCATTTAAACGTGCTATATGTCCAGCCAATCTTCATTTGGCTTGTGCAATTTTTTCTACGACATCTGTCACTTTAGGCCTCTCTCTCACTATCCTATTTGGTACCATATCTCTTCTAATTATTCCCAACATTGCTCTTTCCATTTTTCTTTGGCTTACTCTCAATTTATTTGCAGAATGTTTGGTTAAAGTTATTGTTTCGGAACCATATGTTATTACTGGCAGTATGCATTGGTTGTAAACCTTTTTCTTTAAGCAAATTGGTAGCGTTCCTTTTAGAATATCTCGCATCTTGCCAAATACTGTCCATCCCAAGCCTATACGACGCTGGATCTCACAAGTTTGATTGTCTTTTCCTATTCTAATTTCATGCCCTAAATAGATATAGCTAAAGACCTAATGTAGTTCGTTCCCATCTACCCTTATAACATCACTTGGAAATAAATTGGTCATGTATTTTGTTTTTTCAAAGTTTATGTTCAGGCCTATTTGTTCTATTGCCTGTTTTAGTTGTTCCATCATTTTGTGAGCTTCATTTAAACTCTCGGCTATAATGACAATATCATCTGCAAAGCGCAAGTGGCTTAAGTATTCACCATCAATATTAATTTCCCTTTTAGCCCAATCTAGTTTTTTAAAGGCATATTCCAGAGCTGCAGTGAATAGTTGGGGGGAGATGTGTCGCCCTGTCTAATTCCTCGCTCAATTCTATATTTATCGGTAAAGTCATGGAGTTTAACAGATGCTGTTGCGTTGTTGTATATATGTTTTATCAAATTTTTATATCTATAGTCTACTCGGCTTTGTTCTAATGCTCCTAATACTGCCGGTAATTCCACGGTATCAAAAGCTTTCTTGAAGTCTATAAAAATCAACGTGAGTTGTTTATTATATTCAACACATTTTTCAATTAGTATTTTAAGTGCTTGTAGGTGGTCATTTGTTCCATAAACTTTCCTAAAACCAGATTGCTCCTTAGACTGATAGAAATCTAATTTTCGTTCTAAACGTTTTGTAATGATCTTGGTAAACCATTTGTAGAGATGTGACAACAGACTTATCGGTCTATAATTCTCTAGGTCTGTCTTCTCTAGGTCTCTTAGGGGACTTAACAACCATTAAATATCAAAATATTTCCTATCTAGGTTACAATCTTTAAAATAACCAGTATCGTATCTTACAACTAATAATAAGGGGTAATATAGAAAGACAGTTGAGGGCAGTTGACAGAAAACAAGATCATGGCTTAATAACATTCGCGACTAGATAGTCACTGTCGAATAACTCTTTACACTTAAGAAAGATCGAAAAAAAATTGTCTCAACGCTAGGGACATTGGACAAAGTGTATAGAGAATATGTCATTGAAACGAACTAGAAACGAGGTTTCCAATACTAGATTAGGCGGAATCTGTAGAAATTCAGACAATAATGGACATTTTTCATAGGAAGCTATTTTTTTGCTGGAATCTGGGTTAAGAAGAAAATATGTTCAATGGCGGATCGACCCGTATGAAATCCTGCTTGTTTTTCTGCTTCATAATCTAAATGTTCTCTCTCGATTCGTTCATTTGCTCATTCTTGAAATAGTTGTCGAAGACATTCGTACAATTTTTTCGTTCCGTACTTACACAATTCTCCGGGTATATTCTCTGGTCCGGGTGTTTTGTTCCTTTTCAGCTGTTTACAGACATTTTTAATTACCTCTGTTCTTGATTTTATTGGCGAGCCGACTAAATTCTATCTTGGTTTTGATTTCTGTGTTCTTGAAATTCGATTTTATCTCTACCAAAAGTTCTTTGAAATACTATTCCCAGTCTTCAGGTTTTATGCTCTGTATTACTTCTTTATTCTCTTTTTTTCTCAATTTTTTTTATCGTTTGCTTTCTGTACTTGTTCCTCCTAGATAAGTATTTATTCGTTGGCAATTTCTTGCCTAAGACTCATTCTTCTTCTTCAGAGATTTTCCTTCGTACTTCTGCTTGTTTTTCTTTACACTTTATTTTGTCTTGTAATGATTCGGAGCTTATTTATTGTTGGCATAGTTGTCTTTTACATTTTATTTCTTCTTCTATTTCGTTATTCCACCAGTATGGTTTGTTTACCTTGGGTTTTATGGAGTATTCCATTGCTTTAAATGCTGCTTTGTATATACAGTTGTTTATATGCTCATATAACTGGTAGATATTCTTAGGGGCGGAAATTTGTAGCTTTTCATCAAATTTATTTTGAATAAGTCTTGGACACTTTCTTGATAAAGGCTTCTGATGTTGTATCTTCATTCCTGTATCTTTTTTCTCTTGTTTATGTCTATATTTATTTCTCTCTGTTGTCTTTGGATTGGAAAGTGTATTTTTGAACGTAATAAATAGTGATTGCTGCCGCATGTTGCGCTTCTCTGAACTCTTACATCTTGTACTTTCAGTCGGGAATCAGAAGATCGGAAGATCGGAAGAAGAACTCTTTGACAGATGTCACTGAATTAGCCAGCAATATGACTGCCAAGAGCTCCAATCTTGTCGAATCAGAACGAGCATGAAAATTGAACGAGACACGTTGACAAAAGTGACTAGATGAGTATAGCTGCCAAGAGCTGCGATCTGGCGATAGATGTGTCGGTATCAGTTCTTGCATATATTTAATATAGTTGACAATTTGTAGGTAAAAAATATAGCTTAAGGGAACGCAGTCGCCGAGTCAGATCAATATGGCAGCCAAGGGCTCTAATCTGGTCGAATCAGAATGAGCATGTGCTGACAAAAGTGACTAGATAAGTCAGCAGTATAGCTGCCAACAGCTCCAATCTTGCCATAGATGGGTCAGTATCAGTGCTCTCCTACAAATCAGCGCTATTGTATGGTGCTTTTGAATGGCGATAACCTAATGTAATGGTCACTGAAATATGATACTTTTACAGCGGTTTTTATCTGCTGGCGACGCACTTTTCAAATAACAAAAGAAGTCAAATCTTTGAACTTAAAAACAAACATGTGTTAAGCCAGTTTAACAATGAGATTTTAGTCATCATCATCATCCAGCCTCAAGAGTCCACTGCTGAACATAGACCCCTTCCTCATATTTCCAACCCGTCTATCTTGCGCCGCTCTTATCCAGTTTTTATTGAGTCTTCTTAAATCGTCAGTCCATCTTGTAGGTGGTCGACCGACGCTTCTCTTGTCTTCGCTTGGCCTCCATTCCAATAACCTCTTTGTCCATCGCCCATCTGTCATTCTGGCTATGTGTCCTGCCCATCTCCGTTTTAGTCTGGCTATCTTCTCGATGATGTCAGTCACTCCGGTTCTTCTCCTGTCTTCGGTTGTTATTCTGTCTCGGAGAGTTATTCCTAACATGGACCGCTCCATTCTTCTCTGCGTGACTCTCAGTTTGGTAGCTGCTGCTTTTGTTAAGGTAAGTGTTTCTGCTCCATACGTCAAGACTGAGAGGACGCACTGATCAAATACCTTTCTCTTTAGGCATGTGGGCAGCTCACTTTTAAAAGTTTCTCTGAGTTTTCCAAATGCTGCCCACCCAAGGCCGACTCTTCTCTTCAGTTCATGAGTCTGGTTATCTCTGCCAATCATAATTTCATGTCCCAGGTATTTATATCTATTTACGAGTTCTATTTCTTTCCCACCAATACTGATGTTCTGAATTTTTGGTTCTTTGGGCACCAAATTGGTCATGATTTTTGTTTTTGAGATATTTATATTTAAACCTACATTTTCTGTAGCCACAACGAGTTCCTGTACCATCTCTCTTGCCATACCTAGATCTTCAGCTATTATAAGTATATCATCGGCGAAACGTAAGTTGTTTAGATATTCTCCATCTATTTTTATTCCCTTTGTCATCCAATCCAAATTCTTAAAAGCATGTTCTAGCACCGTATTAAAAAGTTTAGGTGACATTGGGTCTCCTTGTCTAACCCCCGTTCTATTTTTATGCGATTACTGTTAGTATGTAATCTGACAGTGGTTGTTGCCTGCAGGTAATGAGATTTTAGTGAATACAAGAAAACAATATATTTTAAAGCAAATAAGTAGTTTGAATATACCACTAAATAAGACATTGTAGTACAGTAAAATGAAAATATTAAATGTAAAATCTAAATATAAATACTATATACTTTCCCAAACAGATTATATTGTCACCAACAAAACGACAATACTGTTCGTCTTCGCTCTAAAGATATAAAAAAAATGAGGCACTGAAATTTTTGCAAGCAAACTATATGCCAGAAACTTGTAATATTTATTTGCAGTTCTTGCAATGAAAAATAAGTTTTATTTATTTTAATTAATTATTTATACTTACATTAATATATTACACTAGCGGACCAACTCGACATCGAGATTTTTAAATGAAATTTTTATTTTGCGAGAAAAATTAAGAGATCAATACAAACGATATAAGCAAGAATATACATAACATTCATCAATAATAATGCAAGTAAAAAGTGTATTAAATATCACGAAATATTTCGTCGAAAACAATTTTTAGTTCATCAAATGTCGACATGGATATCAACTCAGCAGTTAATTTTGCATGCTGATCACGAATCCGGTGTCAGATTTGCTCTATCTTGACGTTTTATGCGCGTTTCGGGTCACTTCGGTGTCGGATCGCAACCGGAAGTACATATTTAGATTCGTCTCGACGAGACCTTTCGATCCATATATACATTATGGAGTCTAAAACTTAAAGTAAATTTTAACTTCCGGTCATCTCAAAACCGGAAGTGAATTTTTGTACCAAAAGTATTTCTTGACAATCTCATACGTAATACTAATAATATTCCGAAAAAATATTTTAATTATCTATGGTTTTTGAGTAAAGTGGTGGACAAGAGAAGGGCTTAGCGTTTTAGTATATAAGATACTTAGTTTTATGATTTCCAAAAAGTTAATTAGTGACTCAGTCACTGTCAGTTAATTAGTAACTGAAGTAATCAGTACTGAATTTTTAAAATTTTTGAGTTTTTTGTGGAATGAGAAATTTTTTTTCTTTAAAAGTAACGTCTTTATTAAAAGTACGGTTAATATGAGATTTACCTACAAAATACTAACAACTCATTACCATTGAACGCCTTCAGTAAGGTCGTAACAGTCTTGGAAAGCTCTTCGCGTGTTAAACGTTTTCCACTTCAGCCTAAATCCAGATGAAATAGGTTCAACACTAATATTGAAGTCATTAATTACACAATCTGGTTTACCAATACAGTCTACATTGGTAAAGTTAATTCCGTGACCTAAGGTGCCTTCCAACTTCTTTATTTTGCCTTAAAGATAAAAAAGAACATTATTTATATATATATATATATATATATATATATATATATATATATATATATAATATATATATATATGTGTGTGTGTGTGTGTGTGTGTGTGTGTGTGTGTGTGTGTGTGTGTGTGTGTGTGTGTGTGTGTGTGTGTATATATAAAACTGTTTTGGGTTGGAGTCAATAAAAGGGGCTATTTGTTGACTATTTTTTACTCGAGCTTTCAATATTGTGATTACAATTATTATCAAGAGCTTCTAAAAAATACAAAATATCTTACAAAGTTGAACTAGAAATAAATTTTTTTTTGTTAACTGACCAAATAAAATTAGTTTTTTTGTTATATAAAACTGCTGCTAACATCTTATTACAAAAAATATTAATACAAAGATGTCCTATTCTAATAAACGTTTCTCTGAAATAAATTCTGAAAAAGTTTCTTAACAAAAACAATTGAATTTGTAAACAAAAATTGAATAGCTACAAATAAGCCTCAATGTCATAAATACCAACTTAAATTTTTTATTTTTGACATATTGTCAAAAATAAAATTTTGTTTAAAAAATTCTTTTTTATTTAGAAACAAAAAAGCAGAAGATTTATTCACCATTGATAGATGGTTTCTTAACAAAAACAATTGAATTTGTAAAAAGTCCACTTGTAGCTGACCATTTCTCAATGTTTGTTAACGCTTTTTGAATGTGATTGTGAATCGTTGCTATGTTTTTTTCTTTTGCAAAAAATAACTAGGTCGTCAGCGTACAGTCTAGCTTTGACAGGGTTTTCAATGGGTATAATAATAAGTATATGTATAGGTAGGTATAATTTTAACATTTCTAAATGGGTATAATACCCATTTATGTTCCATTCAATTAGAGTTAAAAATGATATATTAAGTTTCTGTAGATGTGTCGCTTCTAAAGCTACGGTTTGTTAGAACAGTGCGCAGCGCACAGCATACACGTACAGCAAAATCTGGACGGCCTCAGTGCAAAAGGTAACTTGTCAAATTACTTGATTTTGAGGAAACGAAAAAAATTCTTGGGTTTTTTCGAATAATTTTTTTCATATTTCTTCAGAAAGCGATACAAAATAGTGGTTATTATTGAACTTTAAAACATTTTATAGCTGAAGTTTCAATTTAGTCAAAGTCCTTGACTTGTTACAAAATGCACAATATTTTCCTTACTTGTTACCACTTCAAGCCACAAAAATACATTAAATTTATTACAAAAACTTTATTAATAAAAAAGGTATATCGAACGTGTATGTATTATTATAAAAAATGGCAATTAAAAAAATGCTACTCCTCTTCGTCACTTATTAAAGAATCGAGCAAAACACCTTGGGCTGGTAGGTCTTGATAAAATTTATGGTACACCGGCGAGAGGTACAGAAATACTGACAAAATGTCTCTTTTTTCCAATGATAGTGGCAGTGGTTGTTGGTGGGCCTGTTTTTTTTGTGAATGATAATTTTATTTTCAACAGGTTTTTGACCTGTGCATGAGTCGCTGTACAAAACGACATGTGAAATATTTTTTTCTATTTGGTGGAGTCCATGGATCACACAAGAAGCAATCTCGTTTCCTCCTCTTTTTGCCATATTCTCATACCACAGAAAACATGAAGCGACTCCTGTTTTCATGTTGTGCATGGTCAGATTAAATGTTCATAATTGTCGTTTACAGAAGGCCCCTGATATTTGCACAAGTGAAGTTCCCCAAGCACGCCTGTAAATCAAATGCAATTGAAGTAAAGTATGGGTTTTTCTGGCTCTGCTGCTTGTCTGCCAACTTCATTGCATAAGTTAATAAAGCTTTCATGTGATGATTCTTTCTACTTTTCAGTAACATTTACTTCTCGGTAGCTTGAGCGTATGAAAATTTTATTTTAATTTCGTCACGTGTCTGAGAAGTTACGAAAGGCGTTGCCATAAATAGTTAAACTGACTGGGTCATCTACTTCTTGTTTATATTTACTGTAAACTTCCTCCGGCATGTAGTGAGGTCGCAAATATTTTTAGTAGTCTCTTTACGACAGTAATGACTATCATATACTGGAAGAGATGCAAGGTGCTAATGCACCAAAGCCATTCTGTCTGTGGATATTTTATTGCAAGCCAAGGATGTGCTTGCTCGTTCATCTGGGGTGGTTGTTGAAGCATGGAAAGCCTTTTTTTGTTGCACAATGGTCCATACAATTTTTACTGTCTCGCCAAATATTGTGAGAAAACAGCTCTTACAGACATCGATCCTTTGGTTCTGAATCGAATATTGTAATAAACTAAAGCTGTTCGTTTCTTCTGGTTTTTGGGCGTATTTTGTCGCGTTCTTTAACCCTGGTTCAGATTATCATATTTACTTAAAAGGACGCACAGATAGGCTGCTCTTCGGTAACGTGTCTTTAAATTCCAATAGGCAGTGAAAATAATTTTTTGATTTTCAAGTTTTCCCATTGCACTTTTTTCTGCAAGAAGGTAGTGGTAGCTAAATTCGACCCAGCAACTTTTATACCTTGCCCCGTAAAATATGCTAATACTTGATTTCGGGATAACTTTCTTTTTTTTTTCATTCTTCTCTAGTATCACCTTTTAAGCCTCTCTTTTTAACTTTTTCTTGGGGTTGATTTTCCTCTACATTTATTACATCATTGACGATATGAGGAAGTAAGACTTAAGCACAAAATTAACCTACAACAATACGTAACCTTTACATTGCACCAAGCACATGTCCATAGCACACTTCCACCAAAGTTGAATTAATCTATGCACATGTCATTGAGGACAGGGTTGCCAGAGTAGTAGTGTCTTAAACAAGGACGGACAAAAGATACCAAACCAAACCAAAATGTACTGTTACTAACTGGAAACATGACATCCAGGCAGTGTTTGGTCAATTCAAATACTGTAAAGGAGGTTACAAGTCCACTTCTTTCCTTTTGCACAAATGAAGTTTTTCATATTATTTAACTTATTACGTTCTACACGTAAAAAATGTAGCCTTTCAGTGGTAGTAGACTTGTTTCTTTTTGCACAGAGTTAGACATTGGTAAACCAAATATTATCACACGAGAAAAAAAATCCGAAAAATGACTTGTTACCTTTTGCACTGAGGCCGTCAATCTGTTTTACTTGACTGAGTTTTGGGCGAGTCGGTTTGTTAGAGTCGTATGGCATACATAGATTTAGTTCCGCTGAAGTTTCAAAAATTAGTTTTAACTTTGTTTTCTTAAAGGTTGTGCGTTTAGAAAAATGTAATTTTTTAAACTTACCATCGTAAGCTGCAAAATTGATCCCAGTTGATTTTGGCTCGAGTTGCAAGGTAATGTTGCCATTTTTAACTATGATTCCACATATACTATGAAGTGTTGCCAAAAATATTAAAAAAGTGAAAACTAAAATTAAATACAATATTGTTATTATTGTTTGAAATAGTTCCATAGGAATTGAAATCTAATAGGAGTTGCCACATGATCTAGAAATCTAATCCTAATTACATATCATTTTAATCAAACTAGAAACTTAAAGGTAAAATAGTGGCTTTATGTTTCCGCTTTGGAGGCTAATACTCTATCATACCTCCGCTGCGATTGATGTTAATATGAACGCTTATTAGCTTATTAGAAGTTATTACCAAAATTGCTGGTTTATATTCATATGCAACATGGTAACAATCATAAATATTATACCAATAAATATTTTTGTCGTATTTAGCTTCTAATTATGTAAAAATCACAAAAGTTTTGTCAGAAGAAAACTACATATCTTAGCGTATAATTTCTACTCCCCAAGTTTAGAGCCAAAAACTAGTGAAATCGAAGAATTTTCTTCTGTCGTTATTGTAGAAAAGTCTACGACCTGTATTTGAACTGATTGATCTTCCTTTTCCCTCTAGTGCCCATTTAAAGTTTTTTTTTGGGATTCTACCTAATATAAAAATATGATATAACTATCTAGGTACAGGGTTTCTCATTATATTTTGACCCCCATTTATTTTCTTAATTTCGGGAATACAAAAAAAGTTTCAAATAAAAGTTGTATTATTTTATCTGTACCGACCAACAATGTAGCAACAGACCAAATTTTGTATACAGGGAGTGCCCAATAAAATGCATCTTCAATATTTCAAATGGTACACCCTGTATTTTTTTTATAGTTTTGAGTAGCCCTGCATTTCCTGATTACCAATATATAACATTGTATAGCATTAGTTTTGTTCTATAATGGCATATGGTACTAGAAAGGGGTAACCATAGGCGGCTATACAATAGGGATGGAAAAAACCTACCGGTTTTAACCGAAAACCGGTTTTTTTACTTCGCAATAACCGGTTTTATCGGTTGTTTTTTGTCCCGGTTATAACCGGTTTTTCATTTTTAAAGTAGAAAACCGGTTATTAGGTTTATACGGTGATTAGGATTAGGTTAAGTATTATTTTGGATAAAGTTTTATTATAATATTTCGTTGAAAAGGTATTTAAAATCATAATATTTACATAAGAAGTGACCTGGTATATCATCCATTTTTCACACTTGACTCTTGACATTGAAAGTGGGTGAATGGCTTTTGCTGATTACCAAAATAATGTTCTGACTATGAATATCTAATTAACGATTACGAAAACGAATCTCCAAGGATTTCCCTACGTTTTCAAAACGATACACCATTACAGGAAGTATTCTTGTAATGAGTTAAAATGTACCTATTATACTAATATACAAACGTGTTAAAAGTAATATATGGTAAATTTTTTTGATGGTAGTAAAAAGCGTTTTTAATTCTTTCAAGATATGCTTACAAATTTGAGCAATGATCCTAATTATTTTTATAACATTTTATGGACAGATGAATCAAATTTTTCAATTTCAGGCATTTTTAATAGAAGAAATAGGTATTTGTGGGAACAGAAAAATAATAGAAAAAGAAAAATTAAGCAAATAAAAAGTTAGGAAGAAAATCAATAAATGTGTAGTGCGGGTAAAACAAAATAGTTGGACCATTTATTTATAATTATAAATTAACTGGGGAATCATATTTGGACACAGTCATTACAGAAGTGGATGAGTTATTAAATCAAAATTATGCACAGAATCAATTAAATAGTATGATATGGCAACACGATGGAGCACCGCCACACAATGTCATAGCCGTTCAAGAACATTTAAATAATCAATTTAATATTGTTCTGAAGCTATTTTCTTGTGGCATTGTAAATTAATTACTAATAAACTGGGAATAAGCCACAATTAAAGATAAAAATACGTTTATTGACGTTTCAATTTCCACTTCGGAAATCGTTCTCAAAATACAAACAGTAAATTAAACAAATTTTGTTTAATTTACTGTTTGTATTTTGAGAACGATTTCCGAAGTGGAAATTGAAACGTCAATAAACGTATTTTTATCTTTAATTGTGGCTTATTCCCAGTTTATTAGTAATTAATCAATTTAATGTGTGGATCGGCAATAAGGTTACCATTACATGGCCACCAAATAGTCCCGACTTAACACCATGTGATAGCTTTTTATTGGGGTTTTTAAAAGAAAAAGTGTATTTTGATTCAAATGCAAATATTAACACTATCACAGTAAAAGTTCGCGCGAAAAATTGTGCATTAGAAAATTTGAGACAAAGATATTACTTATGCATTGATAACAATGGAGGGCACTTTAAGCATCTATTGTAATCTTAAATGTAGTATTGTATCTTAAATGTAGTATTGTAAGTCATTAATTTTGTTGACTTTCTAAATATATTTTTTTCTTATCTTAGTATAGTATAGTAGTACCATACGCCATATAGAACAAAACCAATGCTACACTATGTTATGTATTTATAATGAGAAAATTCAGGACTACCTTTACCCTTTAAACTTAAAAAAAACTCTTTAAACTTTACCTCTACCCTTTAAACTTAAAAAAAATACAAGGTGTGCTATTTGAAGTATTGAAGTTGCATTTTATTGGGCACTCCCTGTATACAAAATTTGGTCTGTTGCTACATTGTTGGTGGGCACAGACAAAATAATACAACTTTTATTTGAAACTTTTTTTTGTATTCCCGAAATTTTTTAAAATAAAATACCATGCAATTTTTATTTTTGAAATATCGCTGGGCATTTTTTACTACTATGTCTTCAAAAGCGTTAAAATATATAAATATCTCAAAAAAATCTTTATGTCAAATAGCTGTCTACAAAATTAATGAATTGCACTTTTCAAACGCTTTCAATACATTTCATTATTGTAACTATTTTTTAGGTTATGTGTAAAACAATAAATATCTAAAAAAATGACTGTTTATTAGTCCAATTAAAAAAATCAGTCAAAGATAAATTAAATAAAACAAAAGAGTAACATTTTGGCAATATTTTGCTTACAGTTATGGTATCCTTTCGACATCACTAATAGATTAATAGGTAAACTAACTAACTAAAATTAACTAACTTGTCTACTTAACCAAGTACCGCAACTATGTTTTGGTATATAAAATGGGAAAAACAAAATAATTATGTTATCATTCTTAACATTCTCGAAATGATAAATCGAACACTTCGAGTCGACTTCAGTCAATAATAAAACCGATAATGTTGGCAAGTGATTGTAATTATTTTTTATCAATATTAGAATAAAATAATTAGTTGTGATGCATGTGGGATACCAAACAATCGATCAATCACAATAACACTGGGTGTTATTACTACACCGGTAAGTACTACTGGGTAAGTTAAATACTACACCGTTAGAAAGAGTGGATAAAATATGCTATTTGGAGTGCAATATACGAAATAAAAACTAATATTGAAAAAGCCAGAAGCTCTTTCAACAACCTTAGGAAGATTTTATGCAACTTATCTTTAACCCGGCGACGGTATTGTGGGGTATCACATATCCCACGAGAATTTAAAACGCCCGCGTTTGCGCAACTTCAAACAACAAACAGTTAAACCCCGCCTACCTTCGAGTTAGGTTATATCTTCGAGCAAAAAGACAAAAGAGGGAATGTAAAGGTAGTGGGGGCAAAAATATTGTTAGACAGGAAGTGCGATCTTTAGAGGTCACATTAAACAAGGAAAGAGAGTCTCTCTCCTCCTTTGACATCAAATTTAGTTGGGTTATGTTATTGTTTGTCCCAAAAGTCACATGAAATCTTATTTATATTGAAGATTTTTAACAATTGTCGCATTTTAGACTATTATCGTTAATAATTAATTAAAACTTTCTCGTCTAAGACACATTCTGAAAAATATATAGCTACTGTTAATAAGTGTCGGAAAATTTAAATGTGGCGCATTCGCATTTCCGGATATGTCCGCCATCAGAGGCCACTTTTTTCTCTCATTTTGTCTCATTTTTATAAGGATTGGATTCCCTCTTTTGTCCATTTGCTCGATGGGTTATAGAGTTCTTCTTCTAGAGGTCTTCAGCAGTTTGTTCGCGACCGTCGAGTGAAGCAGTAGTAAAATATTTTCTTGTTAACAGCGTTGGGGTGTTGTATACCCTACCATACCGGTAGTGTTATATATTTTGTAAGGTAATGTTTTGAAATTTCTTGTATATTTGCAGAATTTTAGTAAAATTTTATTACATAATGTCTTATGAACAAGAACAAAGAAGGCTCCTGCAATTGTGGAAAGAATCGCAAGATGAACACGCTATTGGTTCAGAATCTGAGGGAGAACTTCCCGATCATATCAGCGAAAATTCAATGTCAGAATCAGATTCTGAAATTGTGGATCCAGAAGTGCCTGAAGCAATGACAGAAAACATATCCGCCAACTCAGCAATAGACGATGAATCCTCAAATACAAGAGAATATTTTATAGGACGTGATGGAAAAATTAGGTGGTCAAAATCTTGTGGTAACCTCAAAGTACGCACACGACGCGAGAATATCGTAAGCCATCTTCCGGGACCAAAGGGCGTTGCTCGAAATGCGAAACCTCATCTTGAGTGTTTTAATTTATTTTTGAACTATATGATGTTGGCAGATATTGTAAAGTATACGAATCTGAATATGGGTCAGAAAGCTACAGCTTATAACAAGAATATGCAATACCTCGAAAAACCAACAATACAAGAAATGAAGGCGGTGCTTGGACTTCTGTATTTGGCTGGTGTATTTCGTGCCAATAGGATGAATTTAGAAGATTTATGAAGTACTGATGGCTTAGGCGTAGATATTTTTATAACAACAACTATGTCACTGAAACGATTTATGTTCATTATATCTTAAATGCGATTTGATAATAAAGAGTCCAGAAATTAAAAGACGAGAGTTAGATAAATTTGCCCCTTTTCGAGTAATGTTTGATCTTTTTACCGAAAATTGCAAAGCTTACTACATTCCTGGAGAATACGTCACTATAGACGAAAATCTGAAGTCCTTTCGCGGGCGATGCCCGTTCAAGCAATAGATGCCAAATTTGGCACTACCAGACACGTTACTTTTGACAATTGGTTTGCCAGTTGTCCTCTGCTATACACATTACTAAAAGAGCATCGATTGACAGCTGTCTGCACCTTACGTAAAAATAAAATGGAGCTTTCTCCTGCCTTTGTTTAGACAAAGAAGAGACCTGAACGGAGTTCTCTCTTCGATTTTACACATGATGTAACATTGCTGTCATACATCCCTCGGAGAGGAAAGAATGTTTTACTTCTTTCTTCCCTCCATCATGATGACAAAATAAATCCAGCCACTGGCGAAGCTGAAAAACCAGAGATGATTAGTTTTTACAACTTCACTAAAGGAGGAGTAGACGTGGTGGACGAGCTTAGTGGTACCTATAGTGTGAGTAGAAATACTAGGAGATGGCCGCTAGCCATGTTTTATTCATTGCTGAGTACCACTGGAATTAATGCTATGGTAATTTTTAATGCAAACAATCCTGTGGGTAAACGGATGAAGCGACGTTTTTTCTTGAAAGAGTTGGGACTATCTTTGATTACAGACCACCTTCATGAGAGGAAAGAAAATTCAAAATTACCCAGAGTGGTGAGAAAGAAAATAATAACATCATCAAAATACCGCAAAAACGAAGATGAACCTTAGCCATCAACGTCCAAAAAAAGAAAAGGAATGGAAAGATGTTGTATCTGTCCACGGTCAAAAGATAGAAAATCTCATCTAACTTGTTCTTCTTGTGAGCAGTGGGTTTGCATGGAACATTCAGAGCAAATCTTTATCAAATGTAAAATAAGTGACGCAGATTAGATTTAGATAAGATTAGAGTTTTAGATAAAAATATATATATATATATATATATATATATATATATATATATATATTTTTATATATATATATATATATATATATATATATATATATATATATATAATAAATTTTAAAAATTGCAAGAGAATTGTACTTAATAGATGCTATTTGATAGTTGTAAATATATAGGATACACTATTTCCGTCCTTATTTAGTTTTATTGGTTAGTAGAAAACGTTTTGTATTATCTTAATGTGAACAAAAAATATGATAAATCTTGTTTTTGTTCTACAACACTATCTAAAAAAATTGTCATCAATCAATCAAACTAGTTTTATATTTTTCAACAAAAGCATAAAATATTTAATCTTTTTGATTACTACTTTTCGAGTCGGTTCAAACAAAATAAAATATATCAAAAATTCGTATTGATAAAGTCATTTCCTGGAGACCTGGATCTTTATCGTTACCACATAGGTAGTTTGAAAGAAAAGATGCTTTAAAGTTTGCCAGCGTTACAAACTTTTTGCTTCTAAATTACATTTTGTCAAGAACAAACTTAGATTTAATCCCTAAACTTAAGAAAGAGCTTCAGGTATTAGAGGGAATAGCCTCTACCGCAACTGGGCCTCATTTGCACACACGAAATAAACAGGGTGTGTCATATTTCTGAAAAAAAAAAAATAAGTAGAGACAATGTGGTTTGTCTAAATTTAATTTCATTCTAATTACAACTAACTATACTTTTTAAATTGGTTTATCAACTATTTGACAGATATTGCTGACCTTTTAGTTGAACAGTTAAGTATTCAATAGTAGTACGGTCGTTTTCCTTGGGTATAAGCATCAATATTCCTTTTGTCTTTATCCCTATGCACGGTGGCTTCCCTAATTACATTTCTCCATAAGTTTCTCTCTTTGATCATTTTTGGTCTTCTTCTCAGGAATCCGCAGAGAGGTCGATTTTATACAGCCAGTAGTTATTCTACATATTTCGTTTATTGTAGTGAAAATCTATATATTCCTCACTCTATGGAGGTATGGCTTTGAAGTAAACCTGTAGATCCACTTTTCGATGACTTGTTCCAACATTTATAGACAACATATCGGCAATAACGCGGCGAATGTTGTCCTCCAAATGGCCAATCGTTTTTGACTTATCAGCGTAAACAAGCGACTTTACATATCTCCACAGAAAATAATCTAGCTGTGTTAAATGACACGATATTAGAGCCCACTTCACAGATTCGAAACGTGAAAATATACGGTTACCAAATTTTGCACCGTCTTGTTGAAACCACAGCTTCTGCATATTATGGTATTATGTGTAAATGAGAAATAAAAAAGTCGCTCACTATGGCTCTATAGCTATCGTCATCGACTGTAAGGTGCTGGCCAGCATCGTTTCTGAAGACGTACGAACCAATGATTCCATCAGCCCGTAAAGCATCCCAAGCAGTCAGTTCTTCTAAGTGTAATGGTTTGTCATCACACACTTAAGGATAATCTTTACTTAAAATATGGCAGTTTTGTTAGTTGACTAGCCATTTAACCAATATCCTTTGTAAAATATTTCAAATAATACATTGCCAAAGATTTTATACGCAGATGCTAAGAGAGTAATGCCTCTAAAGTTCTTACACTCCAGTTGATCACCCTTTTTATGCAACGGCTATATTATTTCCTTCGACCATTCTTATGGTCGAAGTCTATTCTTAGGAAAACGAAGATTTCCTTCGAAGATATACTTCTTGGTATAAAACGAAGATGTAAGGCCGACAAAAAACAGTACTATCAAAGTATATGCAAAGAAATTGAGAGACATGGTCAGAATAATCAGCCGAGAGATCTATTTAGAAAAATACGCTACCTGACAAGAGACTTCAGAGCCAGAACTTGGGCCATTGAAGATAACACTGGAACCCTGAGAACAAACAGAGAAGACATAGCAGAGATATGGAGATCGTATTGCAGGGACCTATATAAAGACGATCAACGCCAAGAGCTTGTTAGCCAAATCTCTGACGAGGTGGAAGAAGAACCTGATATACTTGAAAATGAAGTAAGACAGGCTATCAACAAGCTCAAATATAACAAAGCACCAGGTCCAGATATGATAACAGCAGAAATGGTTAAAGCCACAGAAGAAACCGGCGTAAAGTTACTTCATCTACTCTGTAACCAA